GTATAATAAAAAAATATATATAATAAAAATAAAAAATTATAAAATATGTAAAATAAAAAAATTAAAACACTCTGTAAATAGAAAATTAAAAATAATAATTTTAGTTTGTTTGCTTCTTGAGTGTTTAGGAAGAGATAAAAATGGAAAAAGGAGAAGAAAGGGGGGGGGGAGAGGGAACTTGAACGGTGAGCAGGTTTTGAGCAATGTCTCGGGTACACGCCCTATATATATGTATATACCTACCATGCTTATTAACCCTCTTCGAGTCTTCCTTTGGTGAATTTCAAGCCATATACATGTATAAACACGTATGCAAGAACAAAAGTGTGTGGAGTGATACCAAAATGGTATCTTCACCACTCGAGATGAAAATCTCGCTTGCTATCGTTTTTCTCGTTCCGAATGATTGCATCCGCCATTATATATATACATCCAATTCCACTTTACACTTTCATAAATCTTCAATGGAATTTATATTATGATTTTCTTTTTTTTCGAATCCAGAGAGTAATTATAAGTTGATAGGAAAGTTATTTTTATATTTTAACTATCTCTGTTTATCGATGAAAAAAAAGTAATTTGTTTTAGAGTTATTCTATAATTGGATTTATGTTATTATATTGTAGAAGGACCATTACTTTTGGTAGTGGATTTTCGTAATGGTAACCACCAATTGGATAATCGTAATTCTATTGTAGAAGAACCGTTACTTTCAGGGTGGTTCCATAATTAAATGGACGTGGTTATATTGTAGAGGGACCATTACTTTTAAGGTAGTCCAGTAATTTTTACCCGTTACCCCATTGTAGAAGAACCGTTACTTTTAGAGTAGTTCCATAATTAGGACGTTGTCATATTGCAGAAGTACCATTAGTTTTAGGGTGGTTCACATTGGAATTAATGCACTATTGTAAAAGCACCATTCGTTGTAGGGTTCTTTCACAATTTCATTAACATTTTTCTACTGTAGACGCGGCATTTCTTTAAGGTGCTTTCAAAGTGGGATTGCTTTCTTAATTTTAATTTAATTAATTTAATTATTAACTAATTAATTATTTTACTAATTATTTTTATTAATTATTAATTGTTAATTAATTATAATCATAATTTTTTATAAAATTAGATTTTAATTGTTACTTATATTAAATTAGTTATAAACAAAGAAATTATTAATTAAAATTAATTAAAAATAGAATCTCATGTATTATTTATAATTATTATTTATAATTATTATTGAATAACAAAATTAGAAAAATCCGTTTGAAAAAGTAAATAAAATTCTTTAGCTAATAATTCTTTTTTCTTTCTCTGTAAATAAAAATTTTTTTTCCAAAAAAAATTTTTTAAAATTAAAGAAAATACTTTTCTTAAAAGTGAAACGAAGTCGGATAACGGAATTCAATTGAGAGCAAGTTTAGTTATTACATAATAAGCTTCTTCTTCATTATCACTCAAGCATGGGCCCTTACGTTAGTTATTTATACACTACAATTTTATCTTCTTTTCTTATATATGTGTACATGTTATTTCTATTCTCTATATAATCTAATGTTTGCTTTTTTAAGAGTTTTTTCTCTCTTTTTTTGCTTTATGAGCAAATTATTATCCTATATCACGTAACTTAATTTACTTTCGCCTTAAAATACTCGTACTTTTGGAATTTAATTTTAATGACTATTAAAAAAAAATTCTTCACGCGCACGTAATTTGCAATCAACACTATTAATTAGGGAGTAAAGAATTTTTTCAAAAAAAGTGTTAAATATAATTATTTAAATAATTGTTGGTGGTAAACATAATAATTACAAAACTAATTAAAACAATATGTAATAATAATAATGATTATTATTATTATATATAAAACATATTATAATATTATTTTGGATTTTTTTAATTATTTTTATGAGGCCCCATTTTTATTATTATTATTTTTATTATTATTTTTATTTTTATTATTATTATTATTATATTATTTTTATTATTGTTATTATTATATTATTATTAATATTTATATGTGCAAATAATTTTACATTTCTAGTTTCTGAATATTTATTATTTTTTATTTTTTAATTATTGTTGATACATTAATAGAAATTAAATGTTTAATAAATATTTTCTTTTAGAAGCAAGAAAACGGTTTTTATTAATAACTGTGTTGGAAAATTTAATAAATAACTTTCCCTTAAAGTTATTTTAACAAAATTTGTCATTAAAAAAAATAACATATTTTTAGTTTGTTTAAAACTATTTATATTTTATATTTGCAACCAGATCCAAGAATTCTTAAGATATTTTTAACTAATTATAAATTTAGTTTTATATTTTTAACTGATTATAAATCTCCATATAAATTTTTAGTAATTATAAATTTGGTTAATAATATTTTCATTTTGTTATTTTTTAAATTATTTTATACTAAAATTAGTTATAAACTTAGGTAATTACATTTGAAATTTTACTACTTATTTCTAATTAGTTTTGTACTGATTAAAAATTTAGTAAATTATAATTATAATTTGGAATATATAAATTATTATATAATTAATTCGTAATTGTAATGTAATTGACAATATTTATAATTAGTTTAGGATAAATTAAAAATTTAAAAGAAGTTAAAAATAAATTACAAATATATAATTGGGTGAAAAGATAATTATGTAAATTTTTAATTAGTTGCAAATATTATTATAGGTAAATTTTTAATTAGTTAAAAATATAATTAAGTACATTTTTAATTAGTCGGAAATATAATTAAGTAAATTTTTAATCATCTGAAAATTTACCTAATAAAATATTTTTGATTAATTTTAAAAATTAACTTTATTACATTTTCCACTAATTAAATATTTTTAGTTTCATTTCCAACTGATTAAAAAATTAACTTGATTACATTTTCCACTAATTAAATATTTTTAGTTTCGTTTTAAATATTTTTAGTTTCATATTCAACTAATTAAAAAATCAACTTGATTACATTTTCCACTAATTAAATATTTTTAGTTTCATTTCCAACAAATTTTATACATATTCGAATTATTTTTAAAAATTATTTATTTACTAAACAAATACAATTTTTTTCTCTCTTTTATTCATTTATAAAAAAATTTACAATCTTTGACGTATTTATTTCTATAAAAAAAAATATTTCTAAATAAAATATTTCGAAATTTTTTTTTTTTAATTTAATTGAACCAATTTTCAAAATGAATCATCCAAATAAAAGGAAATGCGGAAATTGCATTTATATATATGCCTATAGCGTGTAATGTAATAGAGTACCCCGGATGCTGACTGATTCTTTACGCCTCGAGAATTATTTTCAATGGTGAAATAACAAATAAAAAAAAGCCCTGTGTATGTATTTTTTTCGCTATATAATCTTGTTAATGATTTTAACAGAAAACTCTCCTCTTGATTATTTGTCGGTAACGCTTCGTTGATATCGGAATGATAAATCTTTTGTTTACCATGTGACCTACTCTATTTACGTTCTTTGATGAAAAATTTTTCAGAAAATAGGGTCAATACCCTTCTTATATAAGATTATCTTCACTTTACAATTTTTTCTTAATTTATTTATTGATTTTTCCTCTTTTAAATTTAATTTTTTACTTATTTTATACCTTCAAACTATTTTAAAAAAATTTTTTTAAATTAATAAAATTAAAAAAAAAAAAAATTTTTAAACCACTCAGGCGTTTAAGACTTTATTATAGAAAATTTATAAATAAAAAAGAGAAAAAAATTGTATTTATTGTAAAATGTAATTAATATAAAGTTAATAATTATAATAATAATTATTTATTATTAAAATAAATTATTATTATGTTTATAATATTTATAATTAATTATATTTATTTATAATCAATATATATTATAATATAATATATATTATAATATAATGTATATTATATTATAATAATTATTATATTCATAATAATTATAATAATTATAATAATGTTAATGTTAAAATTATTATAATATTATATAATTGAAATAAATTAATAATATTATAAAATATACTATTGCTAAATAAATTATAATAGATTTATTCTAATTTATTTATTGAAAAAAATAATTAAAATTATAAAAATACCGAAGTACCTATATTATTTAAAAAATTTAATTGAATTCGATTTCTTTTTATTGAATCAAACTTTTTTAAAATTTTCATTCTCTATAATTATTTAGTAGAAAAATATTACATTATTTTAATACACTCATTGTTTAGAGGTAATCAATTATTGAAAATAATGAATGCAACTTTGATAAATATTTATACACACACACAAGTTATAAAGAAAAGAAGAGGAGAAAAATTGATGCAAGGAGGATAATTTTTTTTTTTTTTTTTTTTTTAATGGGATGACCATGGGATTTTAGTGGAATGATTAGGTCTCGAATGCCATACACTGAGTCATTGCTATTAAATGCACAAGGTATATAGTATACATATATAAAAATATGGTGAACCGAAAGGATAAAGATGAAAAGAATGTGAACAGCCGGATACCGAAGGGGGGAGTAGGTCGTTACACATCAGCGTAAAACGACGCTACCTTTCTTGCCACAAAACAGTTTCAGTTTTAAAAAAGAAATTCCCTTTTTTTGCTTTTTTAAAAATGAGAAAAAATTTTGTTTTTAAATCTTTTTTAAATTTTGAATAAAATAAAATAATTTTTTAATAATTTGAAATATAAATAATAGAAATGTTAATTAATTATTTATTTTTTTTAAATATATTTTTGTCGTTGTTTATAAATTTATTTTTATTATTTTATTGTAAAATTTTTTTAAAAATATTTTGTTTATAAATATATGTTTTTAACCCTTCGTTTGGTTAGAAATATGATGGGAATTTTTTCTCCCTGAAATTAAAATTAATTTTGAATTTTAAAACATTTTTTGTTTAATTAATATATTAAATAATAATTTTACTTATTTTTTATTTTATATAATAATTATGTATTTTATTAAATAATTTTTATTTTATGTTTCAGAGTCGCTCCAAGAGCCACGCTTTGTAACTCATCCATCTAGTAGTGGAAAATTTAGTCCTGAAAATCGAACAAAAATTTTACAGTGCCAAGCAAGGGGTGAGTTTTTTTACAGTTAAAAAAAATTTTCACGATTATTTATTAATTTAAATTAATTAATTAATTAATTTTTAATTCATAGAATTATTAATAAATAATAAATTTTTGATTAATAAAATTATTAATAATTGATTTAATAAAAATAATTTTTGAATGAGTTATGAATTTTTACCCTCAAAATTAAACTGTAATTTATAATCGCGTGAATTTTTGTCGCGGATGAAATTTAAAAAGGAAAAAAATTTGAGAAGTATGAGAGTCGCGTAGCATATTTTCTCACAAAAAAAAAGAATTTTTCGAAAGCCCTTCGGGGAATATTCATTGTCCACGTGAAATATCGTATGGCAAGCGGATAAGGTGGTGGCCAGGCGAAGCCTCATTCGTGCCGGTAACTTGATATCGTGACCCTATAGTAATAGCGTTAGATCACTGAAGGGTGCATAAGAAGCTTCCCTTTCCTCCCAATATATAAAATGATTTATAATTTCCAACTAAAGTCAATATTTTATTTTTGCCATTCATCAATTTTTTTTTTTGGTAATAAAAACTCAATTTCCTCTTTTTTAATTAAAATTTTTCGTAAATTATTATTTTGTTAATTATTATTACGCTTAAAGTGTAAAATCCCATTTGTAAATTGATTTCCGGTTTTAGTGATTAAAGAACGAATTTTTTTCGGGTTAAATTCAATTTTAGGGGAAAATTAATAAAGGAAGGGGGTTCGTTTCATTTTGTAGGAGAAAAAAGTATTTGGAAGTTTTTCGATCCGTTGAGAATTGTAAAAGTTACGGTTTCTCTAAAAGATTTTTTTCTCTTACTTTTGAATCCGGATATTTATAAATATTTAGAAAATTATGAAAAAAGGGGGGGGGGGTTTAATAATTTATAAGTTATGATTTATTAACTCACGGTAAAATTATTCTGAACGAGCGAAAATTCACATTTAAAATTGATTTTCCCCTGTTTTCGTATTTTAAAATTGTTTTTCTACTCATTTCCTTGTTTTGATAGTTTAAAAGAGTTTTTCCCGGTTAAAATCGAGGGGGGAGTAAAATTGATGAGGGGAGATTCTTCTCGAGACTTTTATAAAGAAAAAAGTCTTTGGAAGCATTTCGATCCGTTGAGAATTGTGAAAGTTACGGGGGATTTTGTGTTTGCTTGAATAGAACGCGAGGTGCGCGCGCAACTGGCGCCTGATTGGAGAGCGTTCTTCCCGCTCTCTCATTGGCGCGCGCTTTTTTCGCTCATAACTTTTACCGATCACAATGTACGAAGTTGGTGTAAAAGACTTTTTTTCTCAGTTTTTCATCTAGATTCCGAATGTGCAGAAGAAAATGGCAAAAAATGTCGAGAAGGGGTAAATTTTTTAATAACTTTTTTTTCAGGTCATCCACAACCACGTTACAGGTGGTTCAAAGATGGTCAACCACTAACGAACGAACTAACTTCCGAACCTTATTTTCGAATTAACATAACAAAGCGAGAGGACACTGGCGTTTACTACTGTGTCGCGACCAATGAAGTTGGTTCAATATTCAGCGAACGAATCTCTTTCTCCGTAGCGTGTAAGAATTTATTCTTTTCAAAATCAATTAAATTTTAAAAAAAATATTTTTAGCGTTAAACTTTATTTTTTAATTTAAAAAATATTTTAATTATTTACTTTTTTATTTAATTATACACATATTTATAATAATTTTAAAAAATAGATAAGAGTTGGAAAAATAATAAAATTACAAAAAAAAATTTTTAAATTACAATTAAATAAACAAAAAAAATTCCTTAATTCTAGATATGGGAATATTTGAGGATTTAACGGAAATTCCTTTAAGTGTGGAATCGGGAAATGCGGCAATTTTGCGATTGCCGCCCATTGAGAGTAATCCAACTCCAGAAGTTAGTTGGTCAAGTTCTGACGGTACAATTCCTTACACCATAAAATATGCGACCGCTCAACAAATGCTGATAATTCTCAATGCCGCCGAAGAGGATGAGGGATCGTACAGGTCATTAAATTTTATTAATTAATTCTTTTCACTTTCTTTTCAAAATTCTAGTCAATTTATTCCCGTTTTTTGACCAGTTGGCGAAAAATTTTTTAACTAGTGTAAATTAAAGAGAAAATAATTTTTTTCCACCGTATTGATTCGATTATTACAGAAAGTGAAAGAGGAAGCTTTAAGGAATAAAAAAGTCTTTGGAACGGTTTCGATCAGTTGAAAAGTGTTTAAGTTACGGGTGTTTATATACCCGCTCCAATGGGACGCGTGATGCGCGCGCAGGCGACGCCTGATTGGAGCGCGGTCTTTCGCTCTCTCTCTCTCATTGGCGCGCGATTCTTTTCGCTCATAACTTCTTTGTATCGAGACCGAAAAATTTGCTCCAAAAGACTTTTTTTCTTGTTTTTACGCGTAGATTTCATTTTCATTTGTATTTTTAAATAATATTTTGGTTCTAAATTAAATTTCGGTTTTTCTAGTCCTTTTTGTATTTTTTTATACTTTATTTATATATTTTTGGTATTTTTCTTCCTTTCTGTATTTTTTCCATTTTGTATTTCTTTCTGTCTGTATTTTTTTTTGTTTTGTATTTTTTTCTTTACTGTATTTTTTTTGTTTTGTATTTTTTTTCTTTTTATATTTTATTTATTTCTGTTTTTTTCTCTTTAATTTTTCTTTTTTCCGTTCTTTTTAATATTTTTTCTTTTTGTATCTCATTTATTTCTGTATTTTTTCTTTTTCATTTTATTTTCTTTCCGTTCTTTTCAATATTTTTTCTTTCTTGAATTTATTTATATTTTTTTTCTTTATGACTTTTTTCTCTTTTTGTATTTTGATTCTTTATCTATTCTTCTGTTTCTTATCCTCTGTCCTTTATTTCTTTTCGCGAAATAAAATAATAAAAAATGCCGAAAATGTTTTCACATATAAAAAAATAAAAAAAAATAAATTGAAAAATTAAGTGAAAATTAAAAATTTGGATACAGAGCTAAAGCGATAAATACTCAAGTGGCAAAGGAGGAAATTAGTCCCTTCTTCAAGTTGAGAGTTACGGGAGATTCAAATGCCGAGGTGCCGCCAACGATAATTGTGCGGCCACAGGATACAAAAATTATTAAAGACCAGGGCGTGACATTTCTCCACTGTATCGCAAATTCAAGGTACGAAAATAAATTATTGTGTAAAATTATTTTAATTTGGGTCATGTATTTTTTTTTTTTTTATTTTATTATTATTATTATTAGGTATTATTACTATTATTAATTATTATTTAATTTATTTATTTTTATAATTTATTATTTAGAATTGCTATTAATATTTATTTTATCGTTTCTTCATTATTTCAAAGTTTTTATTTTCATTTTATTATTTTATTTTTTGTTTTTAAATTTTTTAAAATTTTTTTTTAATTTTATTTTTTTTTAAATTTTTTTTATAATGAAAAATGTTTACTTTTTGCAGGTATCTCCACGAATTGAGAACTTTATGGACGAAGGATGACATTCCAATTGAAAATACAAGAATCTCGTATCAATTTGACGATCTTTGGAACCGGACTTTAATACTCAAGTCAGCGAATTTGACCTATACGGGAATTTACACTTGTCACGTTGATCTGCGAAGTGGAGGATTCCCCACGATTATTGCCAATGCCAGTATTGAAGTTTATGGTAAAATTTTCTTTATTTATAAATTAGAGAAAATAATTTATAGGAACTAAGAAAAAAAAATTTTTATAACTCAATTTTTTTTTTTTTTTTCTTTCGGATTTTCAATAGTTTAATTCATCTACCAAATTGATTTTTAAGTACTTTTTTGTAGCATTTTTAATAAATAAACAAAAAAACTAGTATTTTTTTTTTATTTTATTTTTAAATATAATTTCGTGATCTAATTAATTTTTAAATATTTCAAAATATATTTTTTATTGAATAAAAAAATAATAAATGTCAATTTTCTCTTTCATTGTTTACGATTTTCAATTTTATAATATTTGTGTTGTTAAAAAAAAGAAAGTTGAAAAAAAGTTAAAACAGAAAAAAAATTATGTAAAGAAGTTAAAATAAAAAAAAAATATTTTTTTTAAAGAAAAACCCTCGTTTATAAACGAACTGAAACGGGAGACAATTAGCGAATACGGATCGACTGTAATTCTTCCCTGTGAAGCCGAAGGAGTTCCTTTGCCAAAAATTAGCTGGTATCGAAATGCGGAATCAGTCGATCATTTGTTTGGCTCGAGGTAAGCAAAAAAAAGGAGAAAATTATAAAAATTAAGACAAAAAAAATTCCTAAGTAAAAGAAAAAAATAAAAAAAATTAAAAGAAGTGATAAATAAATCAAAATATTTCTAAAGAGAAAATAAAAATAATAAAATAAAATTTCTAGAGAGAAAATAAAAATAAAATAAAAATATTTGAAGCAAAAAATAATAAAATAAAAATATTTCTAAAAATAAAAATAATAAAACAAAAGTATGTTTTATAGAGAAAAACAAAATAGAAATATTTCTAAAGGGGGAAAAATAAAACAGAACAAAATATATATTATAGAAATAAAATTTTTAAAAAAGAAAAATGTATTAAAAAAATTTTTTTAATTTTAGATACAATTTGGAGGAAGACGGATCATTAACAATTAAAAAATTAACAATGGAAGATTCAGGAATGTTTCAATGTCTAGCGTCAAATGAAGCTGGTGAGGCTTCAAGTTACACATGGATCAGAGCAAAAAGTAAGTAAAAAAACAATTGTTTCTTTAATTAATTAATTAATATTAATTTTTTAAAAACTAACTTAAATTAAGTAACCGAACAAAACATTTGTTTCCTTTAAATATTTTTTTACTCACAATAATAATTGTAAATTTTACTTGATTACTTGTTTTTTAAATTTATTTTTACAATAAAAAAAAATATTTTTATATAATAATTTTTTTTACACTAAAAATACATATATTTTTACAATATAAAATAAGTATTTTCAAAAAATAAATTTATTTTTACACTAAAAGTAAATATTTTTATAAAATAAATTTATTTTTACACTAAAAGTAAATATTTGTATAAAACAAATTTACTTTTACAATAAAATATTTATTTATTCAAAGTCCATACCTTTCGGTTTCGGACGATTACAATAAAATAAATAAAATATTAATAATCAAAAAATATTATTTTTGGCGAAAAGAAAAAAAAACACTAAAAATAAATATTTTTATAAAACAAATTCATTTTTACAATAAAATAAATAAAATATTATTGTCGAGAAAAAAGCAAAATAAAAAAAAAAATTTTGTTGATTTTTGGAAATGTTGATGATTAATTTTTCTATCGGGACAGAGAGTGAAAAAGCTGAAAGCTCAATGAGGAACAGAGTGAGCCGATGGGCGGCTGGCTACAATGTAGTCAGAGTTCGTCAATCTGATCATCGATTTTTGTTTTCTCAATATCCAGACAGTAAGAATTTATCAATGAAATACAATTTTAGGCAGAAAAAAAATGAGAAAATATTCACGAAATATAGTTTTGTAATAGTTTTTTTTGTATTTATTTTATAGAACTAGTCTAGAGAATGAATTTGTATTTTTCAATGTTCTTTTATTTTGTTTTATTTAATTTTGTTTTATTTAATTTTGTCGTATTTTCTTTATTTTGTTTTTTTTCATTTAATTTTGTTTTATTAAAAAAAATTCGTTTCTTTTTGATTTATTTTGTTATAATAATAATTATATTAAAATTTTATATTGTTTTGTAAAAAGTAAAAACTTCTTTTCTTTTTTTCGTATTATTTCGTAATTTTTTTTTTTTTTAATAATTAGCAAAAGAATAAATTTGATTTTGTCTTATTTCATTTTTATTTTATTATTTATTTATTTCAAAGTATTTTAATTCAATTACCTTTTTGTTTTTTTCCTTTATTTTTTTTAATTATTGCTTTCTCATAGAGGAAGAATTGTATTTAATTATTTCTTTTTATTATTTAAAGTTTTCTCCACTGATTAGTTTCTCATTTTTTTAGATTGTATTTTTAATATATATTTTTTTGTTCTTTCATGTTTTTAAAACTATTTTTTTTCATATTTAAACACTTCTGCTTGATTTGCCAATCACTCTGCTTTCTGTTTTAAATTTATTTAGAACAAAAAAAAGGAGAAATTTTGCAGTTCCACTTTTTTTAAAATAGCTTTTTCTCTATTTATATATAGAACACCACATTTAATTATTTTAGATATTTATGAATATAGAATAGAAGAGAGAAAGAGAGAGAAAAAAATAGTAGATCACTCTTTTGAGAGCACGATACTTGTTTGGTGTGATTTTTTTTTATAGTTTAGTTTTCCTTTATTTTGTTAATTTTTTTTTCTTTTAGTTTAGAAAAATTAGTTCTTTTTGTAGTGTATTTTATATATTTTTATATGTACGCACTTTACGATGATGAGAAAGAGAGAAAAATTTTCTTAAAAGTATTTCTTTTTTCTATTTTTTTTAAATTTTTTTTTAGGAAAAAAATATTTGAAAAAAAATATTCGGTAAATTATTTTCCGTTCCGTTATTTTTTCTATTTAATTTCGTTTCTGTTTTTTTTCATTTATCGTTTATTCTTAATTAAATTAAATTAATTAATATAATTTTTTTCTTTATTTTCAGTCTCGTAGAATTTATTTATTATTTTTCCAGTCTATATTAAATAAATAAATAATTATTTTGTAGTTTTTTTCATAGTTTTATTATTTTTTTGTCATTGTTATTGAGAAATCTTTTCAGATATTCTTTTTTTTTAATTTTTACTTTCATCGATCTTATTATTGAATTAAAATTGAAAAATTGAATAAATAAGTAAATTATTATTATAATTATTATTATTATTATTAATTGAATTATTATCATTAAAAATATAATGTTAATCATTATTTTTAATGTTTAATTATTTTTTTTAATTATCAATAACTCAATTTTCTTTTATAGGTAAATTTTAAATTCAATTTTCTTTTTATAGGTGCAGCAAAAATAAAAATGTTTATTTTATTTCATTTTCTGTTTGTTTTGCATGAAATTTTAATTTTTGCATGTTTATGTCAACAAAAAATTGAATTTATTTTTCAAAAGAAAATAAATTTATTTTCTTATTTATTTATTGTTCTTTCTCTTTTTAGCTTCTGTTCCTGTAATGGATTTGGGACCACAAAATTCGACAATTTTGGACGGAAAAGATGTGACGATCACTTGCCGAGCAATTGCGGCACCAGTTCCTAATACCACCTGGTTTTATAATGGTAATTAATTTTATTTTTCTATTTTATAATTTAGAAAAAATTTATTTTCTTTTCTTTGTATTTTTTTGTTTTTGTTTTTTTTTTGTTTTTTGCTTTTTTTATTCTTTCTTTTTTTCTTTCAACAGCAGTTGGACAAATTTAACAAATTTAAATTGATTTCAATTCAGATTCGTTCCCAGTGGAAATTGCAGGACGAGTTCAACTGATGGAAAATGGTGATTTACTTATAACAGCCGTGAAGGCAAACGACGCCGGAAAATACACTTGTTATCGAGCGAATGAAGCTGGATCTGTGAATGGTTCCGCGTTTCTATCAGTTTTAGGTAAATTATTAAATTTCGCTTTAGTCGATTAATGACATAAATTACAATGATAGTTTTCTTTTCTTTTATTTTCAATATTTTGTCCTTTTATTTATTCTTTTTTCTTTTTGGAATTGTTTTCAGTTCGTACACGAATTTTACAACCACCGGCGGATATATCAGTGACTCTCGGTTACACAGCGGAACTTCAGTGCAAGGTTTCCAACGATCCCAGTGTTAAATATGATATTGCATGGTTCCACAATTCACAGTAAGTTATTAACAATCCCACATTTCCTGTCTTTAGAAAAACAAAATTAAATAAATGAAAAAAAACATTTTTTTACGCAAACAAACAAAATTAAATCTCTCGATTTGTAATAAAAAAAATTATATTTTTTCTACATTTTCAAAAAATAGAGACAACAAAATTAGAAACAAGGTTTTTTCTACTTATTTTTCTTTTTAATCAATTAAAGAAAGAATTGGATTCATTTCTAGGTTTGGTATTTATTTTTATTTAGAAGTATCAACAATTTTTGTAACAAAACATTAATATTTTTCTACTTTTCCAGGGAAAAATGGTATTAATATTTGATGATGAATAATATATTTAATAAGTTTTTAAACATTCGTTTAGAAACAACTGTTGACATCCAAAAGAATTGAGTTGTTTAAAAAAAATTGTTATTATTTTTTAAATAACAAAAATTTTACAAGAATTCAAGTTACAATTTTTTTTTATAAATATCTTCGCAATAATTCAATTATTTTCAAAGAAAAAATAAATTTTTTTACAAAGATTCAATTATTTTCGTAAATTATAAAACTTTCTTGGGAATTTAATTATATTCATAAACATTAAAACTCTTAGCAAAATTTAAAACAATTTCAATCGAATTCTTCGAAAAATAGAATTATTCTTGAATTTTTCATACTTTTAACTGACAATTTTGTAGAATTAACTTTTTTTTAACAATTTTCATTTCAATTTTATTGAAATTAGTCGAATCTTTTAATATAATATTTAATATTATTTTTGAAAATTTTAACGCACTAAGAAAGAATCCATTTATCTTTATAAATAATAAAATTAATTTTCAAAATTCAATTATTTCTAAAATTTTGATCAATTCAATGATTTTCTATATCTATTATTTTAATTTAACTTTCCAAAAGAATTCAATTAACAAATTTTTAATAAATTTCTTCGCAATAATTCAATTATTTTCATAATAAAATTTTCTATATGGATTTAATTATTTTCATAAATAATAAAACTCATTGAAGAATATCAATTATTTTTAATACAATTTTAATCAAATTCCTCGAAAAATATAATTATTATTAAAAACTTTAATAAAATTCACCGAAAGAATTCAATTTTTTAAAAAAAAATATTAAATTATTTAATGTATTATTTATTTTTGTTTTTAAATAATTAAATTCTCATAAAATTTTCTAATAAAAATTGTATTTTTAGAAACAATTGAATTTTATTCTTGAAAAAGTGAATTCCTCCAGAAATTTGAATATTTTTAAGAATTATATAATACATTTTTTTTTTGCAAAATTCAATTATTTTCATAAATTAAAATAGTTAAATAAATAATAATATATATATTCTAATAATATATATATTCTAATAATTAATTAGAATTTAATTAATTTTATAAATAGCAAAATTGTTCTCCAAAATTGAACTATTTTTAAAAATTTTGCGCAGTTCAATAACTTTCAACATCTACTATTTCATTAAATTTACCAAAAGAATTCAATTATTTAAAAGAAAATGAATAAAATACTACGAAAACATTTGATTCCGCTAGATAGCGCGTTCGAGTATAAACACGTTTTAAAGACTCTCTTGAATTATTATAGATAATTATCGAATTACAACAGATACAGTAATTTGTGACTCAGTGTAGTGTGCAGTAAAAAATTGTGGTCAGTGTTGTGTAAAAATCTGCATTTGAAGTACAAGGTTTAAAGCAAAAGAAGAATTTCTTTTGTAATATTAACCTAAGTTTCTTAGAGTTTTACCATACATGATTCAACCTTTTCCTCCTGCCCCTCTGATTGCGTCTCTTATCACCAACAATAAGTGATTTAAAGTGGTATGAGTGTCGATGACAAACAGCAGACGACTACGGGAAGGGGAAGACCAACTGACTTGTCACGTGCGCTGAAGGAAGGGTCTACAGCTGTATGCAAGATTGACACATTCTTATTGAAATCATCGCCCTCAACTCAACGCAAACGAAAAATAGACGAACTAGCGACTTGTGACAATAAATCTAAACGTATAAGCATATCGAAAGATAAAGAATTGAGATTTGATATGGATTCGCAAGAGATATCATCTTTAGAAATAAGAGACCAGCTCAAGGATTACATGGATGACGGATTTAATAGAGTTATAAGTACATTGACTCAACGCATGGACGCTGACCGTGATGCTTTTCAGAAAGAAATTACGGGTATGAAACAAGAACTTTCAAAAACGAATGCGAGACTTGCTGCTCTTGAGGCGAGACCAATTAGCATTGTGGATGCGGACGCTCAGCAACGCCTTACTCATGTTGAATCCTGGATTGATCCAAGAAATCCTGACGGACTTTTTAAATCGATAAACCAGCAACTGAATAAACATGCGAACTTATTGAATATACAGGAGCGTCGCAACCGGGAAAACAATTTGTTGATCAGTGGACTTCACGTCTCGAGAACTAAAATGAAAGAAGAACTTAACGATTTTCTTCTTTCTAGATTTGGATTGAAGGATCAGATAGTCGACGCAAAGATGGTATCGAAATCTGAAAATAAACCAGTGATAGTGATGAAATTACTGTCACGAGAGTCAAGGATGTCAATTCTCAGAATGAAGAGAGAAAAAATCTTCGAAAAACATATTTTTATTAACCCCGACTTAACCCCAGAGGACGCTCGTCTTGATAAAAAGTTAAGAACCAAGGCTCGTGAAGCTAGGGACGATGGGAAGACTGCACGAGTTAGAAATGGTAAAATCCAAATAGAAAACATCTGGTATACCTTAAACGAACAAACCGGACACTTAGACTGTCAAGGCCGACCTTCAGGTGGAACTCAAGAAGAAATGTCAAAAAACTACTAGCTTCTGGAGTGTCAGTTTTCTTCTGGAATGTCCATGGATTGGGAAACCTAAGAAATGCAGAGGATGGTGGGCAGAAACTTTCTGATAGAAAATCAATCTTGGCGCTATCTGAAACATGGGCAGTTGCGGAGAATATCAAACCACCTACTGGCTGGACATCGAGTACCTGTATTGTGTCACCTGCTTTGAAGGAGCGCAACATGGGGCGAGCTTCAGGCGGTCTTGCGGTGATGTTTAACTCTAATTTTAAAACAAAAATTTTAAATAAAACTATTCATTGGCTTTTTATCGAAATAAAAGTAGAAAATTTTAATTTTATTTTAGGAACTTTATATTTTAAACAGTCTTTTGAAATTGAAGTCTTATTAGAAATGCTTCAACCAGTAATTGATGATATAAATTGTAACTATAAAGATTCACCAATATTAATAGGAGGTGATTTTAATGCAAGGATTGGAACACTTTCGGATTTTGATCAAATTGCGATTTTTAATTCGGGGTTGTTCAGTAAGAGACGTACCTGTGATATTTTTGTTAATAAAAGAGGCTTAGAATTGAATGATTTTATGAGTTTAAACGGATTTATAGTTTTGAATGGTCGCTCAAGGAGTGATGCTGAGGGTGTATATACGTTTGTCGGAGGAAATGGATCCAGCGTCATAGATCTTGCTTGGATTGATGTAGCTCATGCGGAAGTGGTTTATGACTTTATAGTACATTCATCAGTAATTGATTCAGACCATTTCCCTATTGAAGTTATTTTTAAACCTATAAATCAATTAAAGTCGCGAGATAGAAGTGCTGGGCCCATTCCTGAAGATAGATGTATTAATCGCTTATGTTGGGATTCAAATAAAATAAATGATTATGTTAATATTTTGAATGGTCCTGAATTTGCTCCCCCTGACTCTGATCTGTCTTCTGACGAGCAGAACCGGATTCTGATTGATAGCATCACGAAAGTGGCGAATCTTTCGGGTATGATAAAAAGAACTAATTTGAATTTTAAATCTAGATACAAGAAACCATGGTTCGACAAGCAATTAATTAAACTACAAAAAGAAACAAAACAAAAAGCTAAGGAATGGAAAAAATCAGGGTTTAGTGCTGATGGTAGGCTCTCTTTATGCGCATCGAAGGCAAAATATAAAAATTTGTTAACTAAAAAACGAGTAGGTTACGAGCAAAGTATTCAAGAAAGATTTGCAAGTGTAAGAGATGCAAGATCCTTCTGGTCTGCGGTAGAGATTTGTCGGAGAAAGGGGGGATTTGAATTTAGAGAGAATCCAATAACAATTGAAGAATGGGAGGGCTTCTATGCGTGTATATATCCAGAAAGAGTGAACACAGATGTGAGATATTTTAGTAAAACAGTCCCTGAGTTGGATGGAGAAATCTTGATACAGGAAGTAATAGCAGCGTTAAATAAAAGTAAACCAGGTAAATCCCCGGGTACGGATGGCATTAATGCTGAATTCTATAAGAATTTGCCATTATCTTGGATATTTTTTTTACATTCATTTTTTAACAAAATTTTGGATGAAGGGCGAGCTCCTGAGGCTTGGTCTCAATCGATTATTACTCTAATACATAAAAAAGGTTTAAGAAATGATCCTCTTAATTATAGAGGAATTGCATTGTGCAATTACATCTTAAAAATTTTTACTTTGATACTCGCTAAAAGACTTTCCGAATGGTCTGAAAAAAACTCGCTTCTCCCGGAAACACAAAATGGTTTTAGGTCTGGAAGAAGCTGTGTTGATAATGTTTTCACATTGCAGTCTGCCCTGCATCTTCGACTGAGAATGAGTAAGACGTCAGCGTATGCACTGTTCATTGATTTTCGTCGAGCTTTTGATTCGGTATCACATGCTTTATTATGGCAAAAGTTATACGACATGGGAGTAAGCGACAAAATAATTAAAATTATAAAATCTATTTATGATTATGCATCTTTTACCATTAGAATTGCTAATGAGTTTTCAAACCCAGTCGAGGTAACAGAAGGCGTATTGCAAGGTGAAACGCTTAGTCCCATTTTGTTTATATTATTTATCGCAGATTTTGAAAGAAAACTCAGGGACGCTGGAAATGAGGGTCTGAATATAAATGGTTGTGTGGACTTGCTTGTTTCACTTTTTGCTGATGATGCGGTTGTTTTGGCGAGTACCTCAGTGAGGATGTGTAAATTAATAAAAGATATAGAAAATTACTGCAATGTAAATGGTCTGAAAATCAATACCTCAAAAACGCAAATCGTTCACTTTAGAAGAGGGGGTAAACCATCATCGAAAAAATTTTTTATTAACGGTGATTCTCTTAAAATTGTAAATTCTTACAATTATTTGGGAGTTGAGTTTTCTAGCTCCGCATTGGGCAAAAAGGCAACTGAGTATGCAATCTCAAAATCTAACCAGGCTTTTGGGACGATAAGACAGATTATAAATAAGGGAAAAATAGATTGCTGGGAGGCTCAAAGTAAACTATACTATAGTATTGACTCGGCAACACTTTTGTATTGCGGGCACATATGGGGATTAAGGTACTTACAAAAAATTGAATCTGCACACACAACACACTTTAAACAATTATTATCCCTTCCAAAATGTACCTTCAATGCTGCCCTGCGTCTTGAGTTGGGTCTTATTAGTTTAGAAATAAAAGTTTTCAAGTCAGCTTATCTTTACATTGTGAAAGTTTTGTCAATGGACAATTCTCGTTTACCTAAAATATGCTTCGAAAGACAGGTGGAATTGATGCGATGCTCTGAGCCAACCTGTGAATATAACTGGGTGGCTCAAGTAAATGTTCTGTTGGAAAAAATTAACATGACGGAATTATGGTCAACCCTTTGCCCCCTCATTTGGTCTGAAAAATTAAGTTTAGCCTTGGGTCGTTATGAGAGGTATTTGAGGTTTTCGGACCTAATTAGGTATGAACAATCCAATTCCAGATTATGTAATTTAACAAGGACGTTAGAAGATAAAGCGGCAATCTATCTGTCTAGGCGACGAAAATTGTATTTAACGAAAATATTTGTGCAGTTAAGATTAGCCTCAAAACACTATATCAGATTTTCATACAAAGGTAATTTGTACAGCTGGAATCAACATGAAGTTTGTACAATTTGCAATCTAAAAAAGATTGAAACTTTAAATCATTTTTTATTTGAGTGCCCGATTTATGAAGGGTATAGAAATTTTTATTTGAAGAAGCTAGAGTTTGGATACGACTTGAGCCAGCTGTGCAATGCGCCTGACGAGAAAAGTTTAAAGAATATTTGTCACTATATAATAAATAGTTTACTACTGCGAGCATTTATGTTAAATGAATGAATTACCAAATAATAATTGTATAAGCGGAAATTCCTGCTACAAAATGTATAATTTTTAAAAGCAGAAATAAATAAATAATAATAATACTACGAAAACATTTAATTATTTTTCTAAATAATAAACATTTCGAATTCAATTATTTAAAATCGAATTTTGCATTATATTTTTCGAAAAAATTCAATTAGTTACAAAGTTTTAATAAAATTCTTGACTGGAATTCCATTGTTTTCATAAATAATAAAATTGTTCTGTTAAATTTAATTCTTTAATAAATTTTTAAAAATTCTTCTCAAGTATTCAATTATTTTCATAAATATTAATATTCTTTTCCGGAATTTAATTATTTTTATAAATTATACAATTTTTTTTAGTAATTCAATTATTTTTATAAGTAATAGAACTCATCGTAGATTTTCAATTATTTTTAATGTATTTTTCGAAAAATATAAAAATTGTTATTAAAATTCGCCAAAACAATTCAATTTAAGAAATAGGAAATTATTCAATAAATTATTAATTTTTGCATTTAATAATTAAATTCTCGTAGAATTTTCTGATAAAAATTGATTTAAAAATGAATTTTAGTTAAAATTTTAAATTATAATTAAATATTAAAAGCATTATAGCGTGAATTTTTATAAATAATTGAATTTTAAAAAGGTTTAAAATTAAAATATTTGAAAATTTGAATTTTTATTACTTTTAACTGACAATTCTGTAAAATCAAGTTTTTTGAAAAACTTTAATTGAATTTTTTTAAAATTATTTGAATTATAAATTTAATTGAACAATTAAATTCAATTTTTCAAAATAATCGAAATTTTTGGTAAAATTGAATTGTAAACAAGTAAATTTAAAAATTCTCAAAAAGAACTTTTTTAAAAATTATTAAGAATAATTGATTTAGAGAAGAATTTTAGTTAAAAATTCTAGAAAATAATAATTGAATTGAAATGATGAAAATAATTTTGAAAAAGTTACAGTAACAATATTTTTATAATATAAAATAATAATTCCATTACTCGATTATTTTAAAATTTTAAATAATTTAAATTGAGTGTTTTGAAAAATTTTAATTTCTACGGAAAAATCATGATTAAATATTTATTTAAAAAAGAAGTTATAGATGTTTTCGAATAATTTTAAAATTAGAGAAATTCGTAAATAAATCTAACAGAACATTTTTTTTGTGTAAAATTTTTTTCTTTATTTTCTAAACATTCAAAAATTTTCAATTTTATTTTCAATTAATATTTTTAATTGACAAATAAAATTTATAATAATTTTTTTTCTAATATTATTTTATTTAAAAAAAAATCAGGTTTGCAATTTTCAAAAAAAAAATTTCTTCTTTTACTTTTAGATTAATCAACACACGTTCGAGTCAACGAGTGAAAATGCGTGACGATGGAACATTAGAGATATTCGCAGTGCGCGCATCTGATGTTGGTGAATACACGTGTTCAGTGATATCGCCCGGTGGCAATGAATCGCGAACGGCTCGTCTCAGTGTCATTGAATTGCCATTTGCGCCAATTAATGTGATGGCACAAAGAGCCGAGGAAATTTCTCTACGTTCAATAAATGTCTCCTGGGTCCCTGGTTTCGATGGGAATAGTCAAATAAAACGTTTCAGCGTTCAACGTTGCGAGGTACATGAATTGGGACCAATTCCCGATTTATCGCCAAATTGGGTGCGCGAAATGACAAATATCTCGGCTCAAACCAACTGGATTTTATTGCACAATTTGAAGGCAGCGTCGGCCTATCAATTTCGTGTGAGCGCCGAAAATGACGTTGGCGAGGGTCCATTTTCTGAGCCTAGTAATGTTGTTGTTCTGCCGCAAGAACGTGAGTATTTTTATTTTGTTTATTTCTTTTTTTTCTTAATTTTTCTCACTTTTTATTTTTTTAGGTTTTTTACTTTCTTTTAGGTTTTTTCCCTTTTTTCAAAACAAAAATTAGTACTTTTATTTTACTTTATTTTTTTCTGAATTTTCCTTATTTAAAAATAATTTTTTTTTTTTTGCTTTTCTTTGGGTTTTTTCTTTTTTATATTCTCAATACAAAAATGATAGTCTTGGATTTTTTTAAACTTAAAATTAGAAAGAATAGCGAATAGAAAAAAAATTAGAAAAAATAGCGAATTTGAAGAGAAATAAAAAATGGAGAAATTAATTTTCGAATTTATTTGCACACAGCTCCTTCGGGACCACCATCGGGATTTGTTGGTTCGGCGAGATCGTCATCGGAAATAATTACCCAGTGGCAACTTCCGGCCGAGGAACACAGAAACGGACATATTTTGGGATTTATTTTACGCTACAAACTCTATGGTTACAATGTAACGCCGTGGACAATTCAAAATATCACGAATCAAGAGCAGAGGAATTTTCTCATCACCGATCTCATCACGTGGAAGGATTATGATGTTCAAATCGCCGCCTACAATGATAAGGGCGTTGGAATCTTCACCGAAGGCCTCAAAATCAAAACCAAAGAAGGCGGTAAGCTATTAGATATTTTAGATATTTTTTAAAGACTTCGCTTAATTAATCAAAAATTAATTTTTCAAAAAAACAGGTTTTCTTTTTTAAAATTTTTTGAAATTATTTTGATTTTTCATTTTTTGATTTTAGTGCCGGAAGCGCCGCCAACGAATATAAAAGTAAAAGCGCTGAATTCAACGTCAGTGGGCGTATCATGGACGCCGCCGAATCCACAAAAAATCAACGGCATCAATCAGGGTTACAAATTACAGGCGTGGATCGGTGGAAATTTTAGCGACGATAATGAATACAAGGCAATAACTGTTGAGCCAAATTTATTTAATCCGCTGGCGGAGCAGGCTGCCGTTATTTCCGATCTCAAAAAATATACAAAGTACAACGTGACTGTTTTGTGTTTCACGAATCCAGGCGATGGCGAGAGGAGCAATGCCGTCGAGATACGTACCAGTGAGGATGGTACGTGCAAAAATAAATAAAACACCAAAAATTAAGCAGACAAAAGAAAGTTTATAAATTCTAAAAAAAAAAAAAAAAAAAAAAAAAACAATCGTAAACGTGACCAAAAAAATTAAAATATAATCAGAAAATCTCAAAAGACATATTTATATAAATATAAGAATAATAATAATTTCTCATGCAAGGAGAATGTAGGAAAAAAAGTATGAATTTTAGGAGAAAAATACGTTCACTTTAGAAAAAATTATTTTATATTTTTTTACTTTAAAAAAAAATTTCAAATTTTTCTTTCCTTTTTTATTTTTTTTCTTTCTTTTCATTTTTATACACTTTTCTTCCTTTTTTCGACATTTTTCTTTCTTTTTAAAATTTTTTTCTACATTTTTCTTCCCTTTTCGCGCTTTTTCTTACTTTTTATCAACAAAATTTTTCAATGTTTTTCGTTTTCCAAGATTTTTTATCGATTTTTTCACTTATTTTCCTTTTTCAACATTTTTGTTTCTTTTTAAAATTTTTCTTACTTTTTTCATTGTTTTTCGTTTTTCAAGATTTTTTTATGAATTTTTTCACTTATTTTTCTTTCTTTTTAAAATTTTTTTTCTTCATTTTTCTCCCCTTTTAACGTTTTTTATTACTTTTTTTAAAAACTTTTTTCATTGTTTTTCATTTTCCAACATTTTTTTAATCGATTTTTTCACTTATTTTTCTTTTTCAACATTTTTCTTTTCTTTTTTTCTTCATTAAAAATTACAATTTTCAAGGAAATATTTCAGGTCAATTGACAAAAATTTATTTTTATTAAATTCATAAATTTAATTTTTTTAATTTAATTTTTAAATTCAGTTTTAAAATTTTCAGTTCAATTCAATTAGACATCAGTTGCATTAGAATTGAAATTAATTAAAAATTTTAAATAATATATTTATAATAAATTTTAAATAAATTTTTAAAGAGGAAAAAAAAAGAAAAGAATTATTTTAAGAGAATTGAAAAATAGAAAAGAAGATGAAAAGGAAAATAGAGAGAAAAATAAATAGAAACGGGAAAATTTTGTGAGAAAAATATTTCTCCGAATCGAAGATGAAAAATAGTGAAATGTAAATGAAAATTCCTTTGACAAATAATAATAAACAATTTTTATATTCAGTTCCCGGCGAGGTTGAGAATCTCCAGTTTCTAAATATCAGCGATCGAGCATTAACAGTGAAATGGAATTCGCCGAAAGAAATAAACGGAATTCTTATAGCCTATCAATTGAAATATATGATTAAAGATTTGCCCGGATCATTACGAGTTGAAAATTTAACTTCCGAAATTCATTCCGTTAAAGTTGAACATCTTCAGGTAATTTTATTTTTAATAAAAACTTTTTTTTTTCTTTTAATACTTTTAAATAAGTTCTTTATAATTTTTTGGTTTCTTTTTTAGGCAACGACTCACTATCGTTTCGAAATCGTTGCTTGGACATCGAAAGGCCCCGGAAAATCGAGTATAGCAATTATTCAATCGGGAATCGAACCCGTTTTGCCCGAGCCACCGACGAAATTGGCCTTGTCAAATATCGACGCATTTTCCGTTGTTTTACAATTTACGCCCGGATTTAATGGCAATTCTTCTATTACAAAATGGACAATTCAAGTGAGTTGTAAATTTTAATACGAAGACATTATTTTTAATAAATTATTTTTTATTAATAATTATTTTCCATTATTATGAATTATTTTCTATTATTATTAATTATTAATATTAATTAGTTTAAAAGAAAGATTGTTTCTCAATTTTCGTTTAAATCTCGAATTTTTCAGTTTTATTTAATTTTTTTCTTTTTGCCATTAGGCGCAAACGAGTCGCAATACGACGTGGCATACAATTGACGAAATCTCTGATCCTGACTACGATACAAATACAATAAACGTTCAGGGATTGACGCCATTCATGCAGTATAAATTGCGATTAATTGCAAATAATGTTGTGGGAAGTTCACCGCCTTCGGAGCCGACAAAACAGTTTCAAACAATTCAAGCGCCGCCGTCGCATCCACCGAGGAATGTCACCGTCCGGGCAATGAGTGCGACGGAATTACGAGTTCGATGGATCGTGAGTTTCTTTATTTTTCTCGAGTTTTATGCAAAATGGAAAAGTTCTTTTTAAAAAAAAATCCTTTTTACCTTTCAAGTATAAGATTAAAATTTCCTTTTTCTGTTTCCCTCTACAGCCACTGCAGCAAATTGAATGGTACGGAAATCCAAGGGGTTACAATGTGACATATAAAGAATTACGAACAAATAAATCGAAAAGTATTAGCATTGACGATCATACGGCGAATTCTTATGTTCTGGAGAATATGGAGGAATTTGCCCTCTACGAAGTTGTGATGCAGGCATTTAATGATGTTGGTTCATCGTCATCGAGTCCAAAGGCAATTGAAAGAACGAGAGAATCTGGTGAGGAGAAGAAAAATTATTTACTTTATTTTTTTTTTTTTTTAAACTTTGGAAAAGAGAAGAAAAATTATAATTTTCTATTTCCGTAGTTCCGTCGATGGGACCAATGAATGTTGTGGCAAACGCGACATCATCGACGACAATTGTCGTTAAATGGGGCGACGTACCAACGAAAGATCAAAATGGACAAATCGAAGGTTTCAAAGTTTATTATGGGGCGAAGAGTCGCTCGCCGTTTCAATATAAAAATATTCCCAGTAATAGTACATTCACAACGACATTGACCGAGCTCAGGAAATACGTGCAATATCATATTCAAGTTTTGGCCTACTCGAGATTGGGAGACGGCGCTTTGAGCGTTCCGCCGATTAGGGTGCAAACTTTTGAAGATGGTGAGAATTTATCTGCTTTTATTATTTAATTATTATTCTCTATTTCTATTTTATTCGTTTTTAATTTATTTTCTCGTTTTTCTATCTTTATTCCTTTTTTATTGTACTTTATTTGTAACTAGTTTTATTCTATTTTTAACAGTACCCGGTCCACCGTCGAATGTCTCGATTCCCGATGTTTCGTTTTCAACGGCGAGAATTATTTGGGACACGCCCGAAGATCCAAATGGAGAAATTCTCGCTTATAAAGTTATGTTTCATTTAAATAGTTCCAGCGAAAAACCATTTTCCAAAGAATTTCCCGCTTCGGAACGAACTTTCACGTAAGAATTTACTTTCATCGAAATTCTACATTCTACAAACATAGAAATTATATTTTGAATTTTTCCAGAATTTTTATTAATTTATTTCAATGGAAATTATAATTTTTACTGAATTTGTTTTATTTTTACTAAATTATAAACAAATTATGTACAAAATTATTAATTTTTATTTATATTAATTTGTTACTTTATGTATGTTTGTTATTAATATTTTCAGTGCCACGGAATTGCAAGCCGAGAAGTATTACATGTTCTCAGTGACGGCCCAGACCCGATTGGGATGGGGTAAAACTGCCTATGCACTTGTTTTGACGACAAATAATCGAGAACGCCCGCAGCCGCCTTCAATGCCGCAAGTCAGCAGATCGCAAGTTCAAAGTCGACAGATTACCTTCAATTGGATTCCAGGACGCGATGGTTTTGCTCCACTCAGGTGAGATACATGCAATATATTTCAAACTTAATTAAATTTTAAAAGAGTTGTGTTTACAATGTTCATAAATAGATCAAATTCAAAAAGTTTTAATTTAAAATTTAATAAAATTTCTGTTTTCCAGGGAAAAATGGTATTAATATTTAATGATGAATAATATATTTAATAAGTTTTTAAACATTCGTTTAGAAACAACTGTGGTCGTCCAAAAGAATTCAGTTATTTGAAAAACATTTTAATTATTTTTTAAATAATAAAAATTCTACAGGAATTCAAGTAACAATTTTTTTTTATAAATATTTTTGCAATAATTCAATTATTTTCATAAATAGAAATTTTTTTTATGGAGATTCAATTATTTTCATAATTAAATAATAAAATTTTTTTTTAGAAATTCAATTATTTTTACTAATAATAAAACTCATCGCAGAATTTATATTATTTTTAATAAAATTTCAATCGAATTCCTAGAAAAAAGTAATTATTCTTAAAATTTTTATTAAAATTCGTCAAAAAAAATTCAATTATTTTTACTAATAATAAAACTCATCGCAGAATTTATATTATTTTTAATAAAATTTCAATCGAATTCTTAAAAAAAAGTAATTATTCTTAAAATTTTTATTAAAATTCGTCAAAAAAAATTCAATTATTAAAAAATTTGTTAAATTTAATTTAATTTAAAATTAAATTTTAAGAAACATTCAATTATTCAATAAATTTACTTTTTTATTTAAATAATTGATTTCTCGTAGAATTTTCTAATAAAAAATTAATTGGAAAATGAATTTCAGTTAAAATTTTGGATTATAATTGAATATTAAAAGCAGTATAGCATGAATTTTTAGAAATAATTGAATTTTGAAAAGGTTTCAAATTAAAATCTGTAAAAATTTGAATTTTTCATACTTTTATCTGATAATTCTGTAGAATTAATTTGTTTGAAAAAGTTTTATTTAAATTCTGTTGAAATTAGTTGAATTTTTTCATATAATATTTAATATTATTTTAAAAATGTTAACGCTCTTCCTCGAAAAAATTCAATTATCACGATAAATATTCAAATTCTTCCACAAAAATTCAGTTTTTCCAGGAATTTCTAATAAATGTTCTGAATTAAAAAATTAATATATTAAGAATCATTGATTTCTTAAGAGGAATTTAATCAAAACATTTGAAAATAATTGATTTTTTTCGAAGAATTAAAATAAAACGTTTGAAAATAATTGCATTTATCAGGGAATTGATTTGAAATTGTATTAAAAATAATTGAAATTCTCTGAAGAATTTTATTATTTATTGAATTCTCGATACGAATTCTATTAAATTTTATTAAATAATTGAATTCCTGTAAAAATTGTTATTATCTATTTGTTGATATAATTGAATTCTTGGGAAGGATTTTATTAAAATTTTTGAAAATAATTGAATTTTTTTAAATCATTTTATTGAATTTTAAAAGAATAATTTAATTATTTCTCCTTCACTATAATTAATTATTTCGAATAATTTAGTTAAAATTGTATTAAAAATAATTGAATTCTTGCAAAAAAATCTCCTGTTTATTAAAATAATTGAATTCTTATAAAGAATTTTATTAATACTCTTAAAAATAATTAAATTCCAAAACATTTTTTTTAATTTCTGAAAATTTAATTGTGAAGAATTTCTTTGAATTTTTTTAATAATCAATTTTATTAATAACTGTAGTAAATAATTATATTATTAAATTTTATTAAAATTATTTATTGCTGTAAATTAAATTCTTTTTCGAACAAAATTATAAGTGTTTTCGTAAATATTACATTCTTTTCAAGAATTTCTTGGGACTTTTTTTTTTAAATACTGGAGTTTCTTTAATAATTTTAATTGAAAATTTTGAAAATAATTGAATTTCAGAAAGAATTTCTTTCAATTTTTTCTAATAATCGTGTCTGTTAATAAAATTGTACTTAAAAATATGATCTTATAAAACAAAATTATCAACACTTTGAGAATAGTAATTGAATTCTTTTAAAAAGTAATTTAACGAATTTTTAAAAGTAATTGAATCCTTTCGAAATATTTTATTAAAATTGTATATTAAAAATAATTGAATTCCTGGGAAAAATTTTTATGATTTTTAAAAATAATTTAACTCTTGCGAAGAATTTTACTATATATTTTTAATTAAATCGTTTCAAAGAATTTTATTAAAATCGTATTAAAAATAATTAAGTTCCTGTGTTGAATTTTTCTATTTATAAAAATAATTGAATTTTTCCAAAGAATTTATTATTTATGAAAACAATTGAATTCTTGACAAGAATCTTATTAAAATTTTTGAAAATAAGAAACAATCGTAATTAATTAGTAAATTAGTTAATAATTGAATTTATTGAATTTTGAATTTGAAATTATTCAAAAATTAAAGTCAATATTTGAAAATAAAAAATTTTTGTAATTTGCATAATACTGATGATAATAATAATAATAATAATAATAGTAAAACGAACATGGCGTTACGCGCGCGTAACATTTGCTAGTATAATATAATAATGAGAATAATAACAATATTTATTAATATAAATTTATCTTATTTTTCATTTAATTGCGTAGGTATTACACGATCCAAAAATCGGAAAATTCCGGACCATTCCAAACAATTCCGGAAAGAGTGAATCCATCGTTGACTTCCTATACGGCGAATAATTTGAAGCCATTCACGAATTATCAGTTTCGAATTCAAGCGACAAATGATATTGGACCTTCTGCGTGGAGCGCGGAATCGAGTCAGGTTCAAACTTTGCCTGCAGGTTTGTTTCACTTTATCTTCTTTTTCTTCATTTTTATTTTTTTTTTATTGTATTGATTAATAAGAAGAATTAAAAATATATATTTATATAATTCTTCTTTTACTTTTTGTTCGATTCCTTAAACTCTTTAACAAAATTGTAATTAATCTAGAACTATTTATTTATTTATTTAAATTCAATAATTTAATAAAAATTAATAAATTTGTACAGCCCCAGCTAAAGGTGTGACGGGACTAAAAGTCGTTCCAATCACAACAACTGGTATCGAAGTTTATTGGAACATGATTGAGGAAATTCATTGGAGCGGCGATCACGTGACTGGCGGCTATCGCGTTGTCTATCAAATTGTCTCCGATTTTCCAACTGCAATTCAAGCAACGCCCAAGGAGGAGATTATGGGCATTAATGTGAGTTTAACGGAGCAAATTAATTTTAAACGAAAAAAGAAAGCTGGACAATTTATATATTTTTGTAAAAAAAAAAGAATAATAATTTAGAAAACAATAATTATAGAAATAAATAAATAATGTTAATTAATGTTAATTTAATGTTTTCTTTTTGCAGCAAACAAAAATGACGTTGACGGATTTAACGGAGGACAAAAATTACGAGATTATTGTTGTGCCATTTAATTCAGAGGGTGAGGGCCCACCGAGTCCTCCGGTGACGGTTTATGTTGGCGAAGCCGTTCCAACCGGTGAGCCGCAACATTTGAAGGCCGAATCAATTTCTTCGACTGAAGTTCTACTTCATTGGAAACCGCCGCAGGCGAATATGCAAAATGGCGATTTACTCGGTTACAAGGTCAATATTATTTTTTACTTCTATTTTTTTTTACTTATTCTAGTAATTAATTGTTTATTTGTAAAATATTTTTTCGATTCATATGTTTGTAAAGAACGCAATTTTGTACTTTTTTTCTTTAATTAAAAAATTGTAGTTTTAAAAAAAAGTACAAAGAAATAAGAACGTAGAAAAGTACAAAAAGGTAAACAAAAATAGAAAAAGTAAGGAAAGTACAAAAGTAGAGAAAGTATAAAAAATACAAAACTAGAAAAAAAAACAAAAATACAAAAAATACAAAAACAAAAGAACACAAAAGTAGAAAAAATGGAAAAAGTGCAAAAGTACAAAAAGATAAAGAAAAAATACAAAAATAGAAAAGCACAAAAGTAGAAAAAAATAGAAAAAGTACAAAAAGGTAGAAAAAGGTAGAAAAAGTGCAAAAAGTACAAGAAGTAGAAAATTACAAACGTTTTTATTTGCATTTTCCTTTTTGCAGATTTTCTATCTCGTGACGGATTCGCCGCAAGCATTGGAGGGCAAACAAGAGGAGGAAATTGAAGTTGTTCCCGCGTCATATTTAACGCACAGCCTCGTTTTTCTCGATAAATATACGCAATATCGAATTCAAGTATTGGCCTTTAATCCAGCTGGCGATGGACCAAGAACACCGCCAATCACAGTGAGAACAAAGCAAGATCTTCCTGGACCATGTCATAATTTACAATTCACCGAAATAACAATGACAAATCTTCGCGTCTCCTGGGATCCGCCAAAAATGCGTAACGGCGAAATTATCGGCTACATTGTCACTTACGAAACTGCCGAGCAAAATGATCGTGAGTTTTTTTTTCTCCCCTATTTAAAAATTCTAGTTATTAACATTAATTTAAATATTTAGTCGCAGACAATAAATTATTATACGAAACTATTTTCCTAATTTTTATGTATTAAAAAAATTGTATTTTTCTTTTGCGCAGGTTTTAGCAAACAGGTGAAACAAAAAGTGACGGAAACGAGTTTATTGGTGCAGCCATTGGAGGAGGAAGTGATGTATACTTTTGTGGTGAGAGCGCAAACAATTGATTTTGGCCCGCCAATATCGGGAAATGTGACAACCGGGCCGCAAGAAGGTTCGCCAATGGTTCCAAGTGAATTGGCAGTTTCAAAAACTGTCTCAAGTGTTGATCTTCAATGGAAAAATGGCGCTTCCGGCAAGGGTCCGATTTTGGGATATTACATTGAAACCAGACGCAAAGGTAGAAATTGTTTTACTATTTAAAGTTTTCAAAAAAAAAAAAGTAATTGAAAAACAAAATAATAATAATATTTAGGTATTTAATAATACAATAAAATATTTTTTCTGTTCTTTATCAACTCGATTCAAGTCTCAGAAGAGTGGCAGCATTGTAAGTGTGATTTTCGCACACTAAAATTTAATATTGTTTGTCGCATGTTTTTGCTGTTTTTATCGTTTCTCTTTTTGTTTAATTTTTTTTTTTTTTTTTTTTTTTTTTTTTTTATAATGGCAAAATTTTTTAATCGCTTTTTTTCATTGTTCGTTATTTTTTTTGTTTATTATTATTATTTTTTAATGCGCCAATTTTGCTTTAAATGTTATGAAGAGTTTATGTAAACAGCATAATCATTTTAATTAATTTTCATTTGCTCTTCATTTTTTTCGCTCCTTTTTTTAAATAATTAAATTTTTTTTCGTATTTAAAATTCAAACCTTAATTAATTATTACATTCGATTGCATCGTATTTTTGCTTTTTTTAACATTATTCTTAAATATTTTCATAATTTTTCACAACTATCATTACATCATTTTTATTTCCAATTTATTTATTTAGAATTAATAATAATTAATAATAATTAATAATAATAATTAATAATAATAATTAATTCTAATTCATAAATTTTGGTATTTATATTCGAAGATATTTTATGTATTCGAAAAACAAACAAGACGAAACTATTATTAATTTTTTATTATTTGACAAAAATATGTACATTTTCAGTAAATCTTCCAATTATTTTCATTTTTTAATTTAAAATTTCTAATTTTATTTTAAAATAAGAAAAAATCTGTTTTATTTTTCTTTAAATCCAGTTTAGAATTTTATTACTAATTTATATTTTTTTTTCTTCATTTTATTGCTTTAAATTTTTTTCCAAATTTTATATTTGTATTTTTTTTTTAAATTTAAATCTTGTATTTTATTTTAGAAAATTTTATTCTCGAAATGTATTTTAATTTTCCATTGAAAATTTTCATTCGATTATTATTTTTTTTGCAGCATTTTATTGAAATAATTATTTACCATTTTAATTTTAAGAAAAAAGTGAAAAACTTGAATTTGAATTTTAAAAATGTAATGATTTTTTTTTCTTTTTATTAATTTTAGATGACACACGGTGGCAGACGATTGTGAAGAGCAGCAATGGACCATTAAATGAGTACACAGTCTCTTATCAAAATTTATTGCCATCAACTTCATATTTATTCCGTATAATCGCTTACAATCGTTATGGAATCAGTTATCCTGCATATTCGAGCGAAACGGTAAATACATTTTTCTTCGTTTTTATAATATTTATACGTAACTTTAACAATTTTAAATAAAAAAGGAATTTTTACTCTTTAAATAAGAGAATTGACATAATTTTTATATAATGAATAAAGAAATAAATTATTGTTTTGATTTTGTGTAAAAATACAGTTTCTAGTTTGAAATTAAGTCAAGAGGTTGATTTCTGTTTTAAAAAAAAGTGCTTTATGGTTTTTTTCCACTTGTTTCAGATACTCACACCGTCGAAATTGTATTTAGAGTACGCTTACCTACAGCATAGACCATTCTACCGACAAACGTGGTTTATGGTGAGTTTAGCGTCAGGTTCAGTGATTGTCCTCGTTATGGTTGTCGCTGTTCTCTGCGTTAAGAGCAAGAGCTACAAATACAAACGTGAGTATTCAAAAAAAGTAATTAAAATATTAAAACAAACCACAATGTTTCATATAGTGTTCCAAAGTTGACATTTTCAAATATTTTTAAAAATAAACTCAAATTTTTGAATATAACTTCAGATTATTTAAAAATTTCTTTGAAATAATTCAATTACTTTTATTAATAGTAAAATTCATCGCAGGAATCCAATTATTTTTGTAAATAGTAAAATTCTTCGAAGGAATTCAATTATTCCTTTTATTAAAAAATTCACAATTTTTTGATAAAATTTCACGAAGGATTCAATTATTTTTCGAAAAATTTTTCGAAATAAATCAATTTATTTCCTTAAATTTTGGTAAAATTCTTGTCAAAATTTCAAAAATTTCCCTCAATTCAATGATTTTCAATATTTGCTATTTTAATAAAATTCTCCAAAAGAATTCAATTATATAAAAAATATTTTGATAAAATTCTACGCGGACATTTAATTATTTTCAAAAATACATAAAAATTTCACATGAATACAATTATTTCCAAATTTTTTAAAAATTTCTTCACAATAATTCAATTATTTTCATAAATAACATAATTCTTTTTAGAAATTCAATTATTTTCAAAAAAATAATAAAACAATTTTTGCTACTTACAAAAATAATTGAATTTTTACGAAGGATTTATTAAAATTTTACAAAATAATTGGAATTTTTCAAAAAATGTTATTAAACATTTTTTTAAAAATTGAATTTTTTCATGAAATTTTATTACAATTGTATTCAAAATAATTGAATTTTTTTGAAAAATTTTACATCAAATTGAAAAAAAGGAAATTTAGAAATTTAACGAAATTTATTGAAAAAAATTAAATTTTTGACAAGATTTTACTATTTAAATAAATATAATTGAATTGTTTCGAAAGCTTCTCTAATATTTTAGAAAATAATTGAATTCTATCTCGAAATTTTATTAAAATTTTGTTGAAAATACTTGAATTTTTGTAAAAAATTTTACTTACTTTTAAAAAGAATTGAATTCTTCCGAAGAATTATAATAAAATTTTTGAAAATTTAAACAATAATAATTAATTATGTACTTAATAAATCAATTTTAGTAAAATTCGGAAAATTTATAAAATTTATACAATGAAAAACTGTCAATTTTGGAAAAATTAACATAAATAAAATTGAGATTTTAATATTTTAAAATTTCACCTTTCTTTTCAGGAATTTTTAGTAAAATTTAGTTACTTTTAATAAAATTTATAAATTTTAGTAAAACTTATAAAGTATTAGTGGAAATTTTGTAAATTTTAGCAAAAATGAACATTAATGGTAGCAACATTTAAATTTGAAATATTTTACTATTTTGGAAAGATATTTAAGTAAAATATAGTAAATTTTACTGTTTTTTTAAAGAAATTACGTAAAATTGAGTAAATTTTACTAGTTTTCTTGTTCATTTTAATAAAATTTCATTACTTTTAATAACATTTAGTAAATTTTAAGAGTAAATTTTTTTTTCGAAATTTATTTAGTAAACTTTAGAAAATTTTTAAAAAATTTGTAAATTTAATGCAAAATTTGTAAATTTTAGAAAAATTAACATTGATTGTAGCAAAATTGAATTTTTTAAATATTTTACTACTTTGGAAAGAAATTTCAGTAAAATATAGTAAATTTGATTAAAAATTCATTAAATTTTAGTAAAAATTTGTAAATTTGAGAAAAAATTAACATTTATTGTCGTTAAAATTTAAATGTTTAAACATTAAAAACATTTGCTAGTTTATAATTTATAAATAATATAAAGAAAAAAAGAATATTTTAAAAAATAAATAAACTTTTAATTTTGAAATTTGCAGAAGAAGCGCAAAAAGTCCTCGAGGAATCAATGGCAATGGATATTGACGATCGTCAATCGTCCGATCTTGAATTATATCGTTCGCGACAAACTGGCAGCGGACTGAACATTGGCAATGGCTGTGGAACTCTAGGCAAACGTGGAACCCTATCGAGAAAGGCAATGCATCCACCGCCACCGGCCGCACTCTACGGTAAATCGCCGCCACGACCATCGCCAGCGTCGGTTGCCTATCACAGCGACGAGGAGAGTCTCAAGGGCTACGACGAGAATCCCGATGACAGTAGTGTCACTGAGAAACCCTCGGAAATAAGTTCCACCGATTCGCAAGCGTCCGAAAGTGAAAATGAATCGGTACAATCAGATCCGCATTCATTTGTCAATCATTATGCGAATGTTAATGATTCATTGCGACAATCGTGGAAGCGACAGAAACCAGTGAGAAATTATTCATCGTACACGGACTCTGAGCCAGAGGGCAGTGCTGTTGTTAGTTTAAATGGCGGTCAAATAATAATGAATAATATGGCGAGATCGCGTGCACCACTTCCTGGTTTCTCTTCATTTGTATGATAAAATCTCAAATTTTCTGAGAGGAAGAATTTTTTTGTTTTTTTTTATTATTTCGTTAGACCGCACGGAAGAAAAAGAGTTAAGGTAATTTTTTTCCTATTTAAAAGAATACAATTGAAATTTTTTTTTTGTAAAATTTGCTAAGTTTTACTATTTCTAGAGAGTAAAATTGAGTTGGAAATATAATTTTTTACTGAATTTTACTTTTAGAAATTAGTAAAATTTACATTAACAAAAATGGTTTAAAGTTAAAATTGATTTTAAAAAAGGCGCAAAACTCAAAGAGCGAAGTTTTACTATTTCTATAGAGTAAAATTGAGTTGGAAATAAAATTTTTTACTGAATTTTACTTTTAGAAATTAGTAAAATTTACATTAACGAAAATGTTTAAAATTTATTTAAAAAAAAAAAGATACAAAATTCAAAGAACGAAGTTTTACTATTTCTAGAGAGTAAAATTGAGTTGGAAATAAATTTTTTTACTGAATTTTACTAAAATTTACTCTTAGAAATTGGTAAAACTTACATTAACGAAAATGGTTAAATATTAGAATTTATTTTAAAAAAAGACGCAAAATTCAAAGAGTGAATCCGACTAGAGTAAATTTTATTCAAATTTGGTAAATTTTACTGAAACTCACTTGGAAAATAGTAAAATTTGTATATAATCTACGGAAATGAAAAAAAAATGATAAAAATTAGTAAAATTTGCAAAGAAAAATGTACAAATTTTGACTATAATTTTTCTCTTTAAAAAAAAGTCAAATTAACAGAAAAAAAATAAAATTTCAGTTTAGAAATTTTACTATTTCTAAAATAAATATTACTAAAAATTTCTAAATTTTAAATTTACTAAATTTACACTCTGAAAATAGTAAAATTTGCAAAAAAAATGAGTAAAATTATTCAAAATTTAAATTTTACTACGATTATTGTTATTTTAAAAAGAAAAAAGGAAAAAAACGACAAACATTATTATAGTAAAATTTATTAATAAATTTTATTATAGTAAAATTTACTAAATTTTCTTAAAATTTACAAGGAAATTAGTAAAATTTACTAAATGGTGTTAAATTTTACAGAAAATTTATTTTAAAGATAGTAAAAATTTAAAGATTTTTAATTTTTTACAACGATTAATAATTTTTCTGAAATTTAATAAATTAATAAATTTTAGTACAATTAACAAAATGTCAAAAAAAATTAGACTCAATTTTAAATTTTTTACTAAAATTTTGTTTCGAAAATAGTAAAATTCTTAAAAAATTTAAATTTTACTAAATTTTTTCGAGTAAAATATTTATTCAAAATTTCTTTCGAAATTAGTAAAATTTGGAAAAAATTTTTATTTTAACAACTATTGTTAATTTTTCTAAAATTTACAAGTTTTGACTAGAATTTCATAAAATTTTAGTACAATTTACTATATTTTACTGAAATTTCTTCGCAAAATAGTAAAATATTTAAACATTTTAATTTTGCTGCAATTAATGTTAAATTTTTGAAAAATTTGCAAATTTCTATAAAATTTTGAATTTTTTAAAAAATTTCCTTACGTTTATTAAAGAAATATCGAAAAAAATTCTACTGGTAAAATTCACTAAATGTTACTAAAATTCATTAAATTTTATTAAAATTTACAAAAAAACGTTGAATTTACTAAATTTTTAGAGTAAATTTTTTTTATTGAAATCTCTTTCCAAAATTGTAAAATTTTAAAATTCAACTATAATTTAATGTTAATTTACCTGAAATTTATAAAATTTTAACTAATATTTCCCCTAATATTTTATAAATTTTACTAGAATTTACACTAAAAAATTCATTAAAATTGAAAGAAATGCGCAAAAAAAATTTAAAGAGTAAATTTTACAACAGGCGAAGTAAATTTTACTAATTTTTACTGAAATTTACTTCGAAACTGGTAAAATTTACCATTTCGGAAATTAGTCAAAATTTGTGAAAAAAATAAGCAGAATTTTTTAAAGAGTAAATTTTACAACAGGCGAAGTAAATTTTATTATAATTTTTACTGAAATTTACTTCGAATCTGGTAAAATTTACCACCTCGAAAATTAGTCAAAATTTGTGAAAAAAATAAACAGAATTTTTTAAAGAGTAAATTTTACAACAGCCGAAGTAAATTTTACTAATTTTTACCGAAATTTACTTCGAAAATGACAAAATTTACCCTCAAGAGCTAAAAAAATTTGATAGAAATTTGTAAAATTTTCTAAAGTGTAAATTTTTCTGATATTTTCTCCTCGAAAGTAATAAATTTGGTCTCTTTCGTAAAAATTGTCAAAAATGCAAAAAAATTTTCCAAAGTGTAAATTTTACTACTTATGAGGTGAAAATTTTCTTAAATTGCACTATAAAAATTACTCTTTAAGGGCATTTGAACCTTGATGACGTTACACTTTGTGCAAAGCATGTGTGACGTCATCAAGGTTCAAATGCCCTTAAAAATATTAAATTCTACACTCAAAGAAATAGTGAAAATTACCCTAAAAAATTTGTAGAAACAAATTATTTTATTTTTCTAAATAGTAAAAATTACTTTATTCATTTATTTTCCGTGCCCCGAAAAGAAAAATTTATTAAAATCTAAAAATTATCGAAAAATAGTAAAAAATTATGAGTCAAAAATTAATTATTATCAAAGTAAATATGTTTTCTAAAAATAATTTTCTTTTTTTTAATTGATTTTATATTCGAACCAAATTTATTATTAATCTCCGACTTTCAAGCTAATAATTAATTAATTAATATTTTTGTTAAAAACTATTTGGTTTTGAGAAACTGATTTAATTTGACAATAATAATTTTGATTAATTGTTATTATTTTCGATAATAAGAAGCAAATAAATTTTTTTCGTCCAATTTAAATAAAAATGAAAAGAAACAAACCCTTTTTATTGTGATATCGACTTATTTATATATACAATTTATATTATATAATATAATATAGAAAAAAGAAAAAAAACGCGATAGTTAGAAATAAAGTTCGTTTTTCTTTTTTTTCACTTCATTTCAAAGAAAATGGAGATTAAAATGAAAATTAATGAAAAATAAACTCCTCGTGATTTAAGTTATACTTCTGTGATCCGAGGGTTTCTCTCCCAATGTATTATTGCATTGCCGGCAATAATTAATAATTAATTAATTAACTAACTAATTAATTAATAAAACTCTGTATAGAAAAAAAAATTTGATCTCGAAACTCCTTTTTTCTCAAACTTAATTAATTATCTAATATACGGAAAAAAGGATTTCTTTTCAAATATTCGAAAATTTGCAGAAAAAAAATGCCAATTTTTATTTTCTTGCAAACAACTAGCAATATTTAAATAAGCGAATTTGTATTATTATTTTTTTTGTACTTTTCAATTTTTGTACTTCTCTCGATGCCTAGTATTTTATATATGAAAAGAAAAATAATAATAATAATGATAAGAAAAACATGATCGACGCGTGTCATACTGTGAATAGTAATTATATAAATAAAATATTTACGAAATATTAAATAGTAATTTAGGACCAATGCGAAGATTATAGAAAAAGGCTGATTTAATATGAATATATTTATAGGATTTATATATTATAATAAATAGAAAAGTAAACAAAAATTTTCAGTTACAAGAACTGAAAAAACGAATTTTTTTGCGGAGAAGAAAAAAGAAAAAATTGACTCGATTCTTGATGACAAAAATTGCAATAATTATTTATTTAATAATTAATAAATTAAATTTATAAATCGATTAATTTAATTGTTTTAATTAATTTAAATTAATTAAACTAATTTTTTAAATAATTTAAATTAATTAAACTTACTTTTTAAATATTTAAATTAATTTTTTAAAGAATTTTAATTATAATTATTAATTAAATAATAATTAATTAGTTAAAAAAAATCGAGTTATCGAATAAAATCATATCATGTTTGGGAAAGAGTTCGAAAAGCAATAGCTGTTTGTAAAATATTGTAATTAGATTGTTTTAAAAGCAAAAGAAAAAATATTCTTTATTTTTTCCTCTGGTATCGTTTAAGAAAATTATTGTGTAATTATAAATATTTTGACTATAGTGTGATATATAAGAGACAGAACACACAATAAGTGTACGAAAAATACACTGCCACAATTTTTGAAACTTAAGTTGATGACTATTTTTTGTTTTTTTTTTTTTTTTGTAATTATTTATCAACAGGATAATTATTTTCTAAGGAATGTAGAAAAAGAAAATTTACAAAAAAATGTTTGCGACTGAATATATTCGTCTCTATAAAAATACGCGTTTTCCAGCGTGTTTGTGAGATTTAAAAAAAAATGTCAGTGGGCGAGAGTTATGAGTGTCTGATAATAAAAAAAATGCATCTATTAATTCTTAAGTATGTTGAAATTATTTATTGCTTACATAACCTCAAAAAACTAAAAAGTGCGAATAGAATAATAAATTCACTTCACTAAATTTTTATTTAATTATTTTGAATAAATCTGAAAAAAGAAAGGAAACTAAAATTTTTTTTAGAAAAAATTATTATTTATTTACTTTTACAGAAATTATTTAGTTGCAGAAAAGAAAATGCCGTTAATTTGAATTTAGAATAAGAGAAAGTTTATATTTTTGGTTATCGTTGCGATTGGCGGAGAAAAGTTAAATATTTTTTTGTTTCGAAAATCGTTGTTTTTAAATTTAGTGATTAGTATCGTTAATTTGAATTTTATTGCGACCCTAACGACTTTTTATTTTGAGGTTATGTCATAGTAAGGGGATTGAACCCCCTTAAACGTACTCGCTCATACTTATATGTTTTTTGCACGTCTCGAATCTCTGCAAATCGTTTTTAACTCGATTTACAATGTTATTTGTATATCTCAACAATTGTTTTACGCATAGATTTTTAATAAAAAAGAAAATAAAAAAAATAAAGAGCTTGTCTAGATTTAAAACATAACATGAACAACACTATCAAGTCTTTTTTTTAATATGTATGTTCACAAGTTTGTTAATAGCAGACTTTGCACTCGATAATTAATTTTCAAAAAGTAGCAAAAAGTATCTTTTAAACTAAAAAAAAAGTTATTAAAATTTTTTTAAAGAATTGAATTCTGTTTCGAAATTTTATGAAAATAGTAGATATTAAAAATTAGTGAATTGCGAAAAGTTTTTAAAAATAATAAAATTTTACAAAGAATTCAATTAAAAATGTTGACAATAATAATTACATTTTTTTGAAAATAATTGAATTACTAAAAAACATTTTATTACATTTTTTTTTTAAATAATTGAATTTCTAAAAAACATTTTATTATTTATGAACTTAATTGAATTCTTGCGAATGATTTTATTAGAATTTTTTAAAATAATAGAATGTGTTTAAAGAATTAAATACAATTTAATCACAATATTTAATAGTTAAATTTCATAATTCAAAAGTTTTTGTTATATAGTTATATCGTGTGCGAAGTTAAATCGAGGACTGAAATCATTTCGTCTGATATTATTTGGTATTGTTCATGAATTACTCATAACTCGTTAATTACATTTTAATTGCCATTTCACACACTCGTCAAATTTGCGGTTTTTATTTTCGAGCACCTCAACAGCTCAATCAGAACACAATGTAAAAATTGTAAAATATTTTATTTTCTATACACTTCTTAAAGAAAATTTTTTTTTAAAAAAAACCCCTATTTGTCGCAATTAGATTAATAGATATATAAATATGTACAAATTAAAATTGTCTTCATTTCCTTTTTTAGCTAATAATAATATTTTAGACAAACTTTTTTTCACACTCTTGAAACCATTTCGCAAGAGATGGTGATTGTAATTTTAAATTTAACCGTTTGATGAGAGACCATACGGCCATGTCAATAACTGAGGGTTCACTTTTATTTAAAAGCCATGGGCCTTTTGTCAAATGTTCATTTAATCGTAAAATTGCTTTTTCCACTTGTCGCGTCGTTTCAAACATTGATGAATGACAAAAATCTAAAATCGAATCAATTCGAGTTATTTCTTCAATTGATGAATTTGAATTTTCGTAGGAATGACTTTTTACAACACGACATAGATAACGTAGAAAATTCACTTCGCCGTCAATTGGGCATTTTGTTAGGCCGCAATTTAATCTCACATCCGGAACTGCAAGTAAAACAAAATTATCATTTAAAAAAAAATAAATAAAATTAAAAATTAATAAAATAATGACAATGGAGAAAATTAATATTTTCTCCATTGTCATTAATTTTATAATTATATACTTAATGTGCCTCTTAATTGTTATATAAATAGACAAATAATTTCATACCATCTTTCCATATTAATCTCAAATTTATGCAATTTTTTTGCGTCTTATTTTCCTTATTATCATTTAGTGAAAATTCCGGAACACTTTCATTAATAGACGAATGAGTGTGTGATTGAATTTGAAAAATGGAATCCTTCCAAATTTTCGTCAAGGCTAAAATTGAGAATGGCGGGTTTTTTGGATTTGCACTTAGAATAATGTCAACTGTCACTGGATTCTGCAAAAGAATCAAAAATAAAAATTTTCCATTAGTTTAGTTTTCTTAGAGGAAAAACAAAAATTAAGTTCTAGTTACTGTTATTCGAATAAAAATAAAATAACACGGTCTTTATATAATTATTTGAGAGTCAAAATCAAAGAACCGGTTATAATTTTTTCAGACTCAAAATTCTCCCCTTAAAGAGTTTCAAAATTTTATTTCTATTCAAAGATTACGAAAAAGTTCCTTAAAAAAAATTATGATTTAGAAAATTTTTGAATTTTTAACTTTAAAAAAAAATGTATAATTATGATTTAGAAAATATTTTAATTTTTAGCTTTAAAAAAATTTATAGTTATGATTTAGAAAATATTTTAATTTTTAGCTTTAAAAAAATTTATAAACGGTTCTTTGATCGGCACCTTCGATTATTATTATAAACAAATATAAAGCAAAAATAAATAAATATGATGGAAATTTAAAAAAAAATAAATAGTAATGAAAATAAAAACAAATTTAATGATAATGCGGGTTTTTAGCCCGTATAGCTTGAAATAAATAACAATAAAAAAAATATGAAAGTAAAAATTTAATAGTTCGACGAAAATAGAATTAAAAATGAAAAAATAAAAAGAAAATAAAGAGAAATAGAACAAAAATAAAGATAGAAAGAAATTAAAAAATTAAAATAAAAATAAAAATTGAATAAAAAAAAAATACAATGAAAAATATATAAATAGATTGAAAGAAATAAAATTATAAATAGAATGAAAAATATGAAAATAAAATCGAGAGTAAATAACAAAAAATTAATAATAAAATATAATGAAGCTAAATAAAATATAAAAATAAGCACATAATTCTCTTTAATTTATCTTGAGGACCAAATTATCTTTGTCCTTTATCTTGAGGAGCGCCTTGGGCGTTTTAGTATGAATAATTTCATTTTTGAAAATAATTTTATACTTTTACAACAGAGCATCGACTCACTCGATTCCGAGCGAGAATAATGTTGAATATATTATTTTTAACGAAAAAATGTTTAAAGACATTAACAAGACGACTTTTTCAAAGTCTAACGTTGGATGTATAAGTAAAATATTATACACCTAGAAAATTCATATCGAATATTCTGTATATTATTCTGAATTGAATATTGAAAAAACTGAAGAGGAAATCACTTAGATTTCGAAAAATTGGAGTAGCTATATTAAAATCATTGTCCGAATGTTTTCGTTTCAGTTCCTTTTGTTTTATAAAAAAAAATATAAAGAAATATTTAAAATATATTAAAAAATAAAAAAAGAATAAGAAAATGAAAGAAGAATAAAATAAAACTAAATGAAATAAAAATTGAGTACTAAAATTATGATTAAAATGAGACGAAAAAGAAGAATAAAGAAACTTAATGAAAAATGAATGAAATGGAAACGAATAAATTATCTGTATTCTTTCTGAAATTTAACTGTAAGAATAAATCTTACGTGAACAGTATGAACTGTTGATGTTTTTACTATTGAATTTGAATTTGATTGTTTCAATACATCGCGAAAGATAGCGACTTGTTGCTTAATTTCTGCCAATTGAGATAAAATTTTCTCCTGTCGCGCCTCCAAAATATTCAATTCCGAACAATTTTCCTGTAAAAAAATACAACAAATTATTATTAAATATTTTCGAAAATTACAAATTTTCAAAATTCAATTTTAAAATTCAATTTTTGAGCTTATTTTTAAAATTGAATTTTGAAAGTAAAAAAATTTACTTTTAAAATTCAATTAAAAAATTCAGTTTCAAAATTCAATTTTAAAATTAATTTTCGAAATTCAATTTTAAAATTTACTTACTTTGAAAGTAAATTTTAAAATTAAGTTTCGAAATTTGATTTTAAAATTTACTTTAAAAATTCAATTTTAAAATTAACTTTCGAAATTAAATTTTAAAATTTACTTTCAAAATTAAGTTTTGAAATTCAATTTTCAAATTTACTTTCTAGGTTCAATTTTAAAATTTACATAGTTTTGAAACCTTATTTCGTAAGTAGATTTTAAAATTGATTTTCGAAAATAAGTATTTACAATTGAATTTTGAAACTTAATTTTTAAATTTTATTTAATAATAAATGGCTTTCGTCATTTTCTGAAAACTTAACCAAAGAATAAAATACAAAAATTCAATATAACCACAAAAAAAATAAAAAAAACAAAGACAAACTTGTAAGTAACATTTTTCATATATACATATATTTTTCTCATTTACGTCATCACAAAAAAATGTTTCTCCCTTCGATTCTTTTTTTCAATACAACAAAAAATTTTCACGTTGTAAAAAACTCTTTTTTTTTTACTTCTTTTCCCTTTTCATCATCATCATCATCGAAACAAGAAACGATTGTGTCAGATTAGTTTAGTTAGTGAGAAAAATTTTTCCAAAGCAGAAAGAAGAGAGACTCCTCTTTCAATCGTTATAAGTAAAAGGAAGCGGAAATTTTTCACGAATAAAGCAAAAACTTTAATATATTCCACACCGCAAACAAAATGGAAAAACACGTGAGTAAAAATTACATTTTTCTTCCAAAAAAAAAGAAACAGTTTATGTTTAAAAAAAGAAAGAACCCAAAGAAAAAAACGGAAAAAAATTATAAAACTTTATAGTAACTGAAAAAAACCTTTAAAAGTTTTGTAACCTGCTCTTTAATTTCTGTGACAATTGTGTCCTCGTTGGATGAATGGTGGACAACGTCATCGTTGGCAATTATTTTATGTTGAATCTCGTGAATATTATTCATTTCGTACATCACATTTTTTTCTATTTTTAAATTAATATCGGACATTATTGGTTTTAATGTGTACATCGCGACTGGACCGCTCATTTTTTCCGTATTTTTTTAATATACTTTAATTTAAACTTTTTTTTTTGTTCGATAATAAGAGTGAGAGAGACAGAGAGAGAAGGTCGTCTTCGATTTTTTTCCAAGAATTTCAAGTTTCGGCCATTTTCTTTCGTTGGAATTTCGTAGACGAGGGGAAAGCGAGGGAGGGGAGAATCCCCACCTAGCGGCGAATTCACGAAAATATTTTGAATTTTCCCGCGAAATTTCCAATTTTCTCTTTATAACGTTTCTTTTTAATTATATTTTTTCTTTATGTATTTATTTTTAATTTTTTTGTATATAGTTTTTTACTTAATTTACTGAAAACAAAAAATTTACTGAAAAAATCTCGAAAATATTCCGAATCATTCGGGAATATTCGAAAATAATCGAAAGTAATAAAAAGAATAGTCGAATCTAATCAAAAGTAGTAAAAAAAATCGAAATTACTAAAAAGTGACTAAAAATAATCGAAAATAATTAAAAATAAATTTTTATAACCCGAAAAAATATTTTGGAATTTGAAATTCGCGCGCCTTTTTTCAATACTTTTTCCCGTCCAATCGCACGCGTCGCCTATACGAAAACTGTCGCCATTGGTCGGCGTGCTCAGTGCAAATGTTCTCGAATAAAAAAAATTATCGCGCCATCTAATGTCAATTTATATTCAAAATAATTTGGAACAATTTACCTTTCGAAATATTTATTTAGAAACAATTTTCTTCTTTTTAGTATTTTAATAAATATTTTTAAAGTATTTTTAATTTTCCTCTCATCCGGCAACACTGTACGCAATCACCTCACAGTTCAATTTAGTAACAATAACAATTCGTTAAATTTCCTTCGTTCTCGTTAAAAAATTCACCAATAATTTTCGTTCTATTAAAAGTGATTTTTTTCATCCAAATTCTGTTAAATTTCGTTAAAGGGAAATTTATATCATTGTAATAATTAGGCGGAAAAGACAATACATCTAATTGAATATGGCGGTTATATTCGGTAGTCACGTGATCAACAAGTGTGTGCAACATTCCAATTGTAAAACCACGAAACAAATGGAATTTAACAAAACTCAAAAGAAATAATCTTTGTTATTTTAAATTCCGAGAAGAAGCTTATTTTTCAAGAAAGAAATAATAAAGAAGTAAATATTTATTTTTTCTATGAAAACAAGATTAGAACCGTGAGTTTAAATTTAACATTCGAATGTTGGTAGCACTCGCTCTAGGCTTCATCTCGAAAAACAAAATGGCGTCTCTTCAGTCTAGCAAAGTGCCAGTTGCTCATTAATTTACAAGCACAAATTTATCCCCTTTTCACAATTCAAATAAAAATTCAAGTGAATAATTCGTGTAAATTCGTGTAAATTCGTGACGCTAGCGATACAATTGTCGGGACATAGTGTTTCGCGATAATTTTTCCCCAAAAGAACAGTGAAAATGTAGAGAGTGTGAAAAAAAAGAAAAAAATTCCCGAAAGTGCTGTCCTCTGTGCAAGCTTCTTGGAAACGGAAAGTTTTTTTTTGAAAATTCGTACTTTTTGAAGTGAAAAAAGAAAATTGAACGGGAAAATTTTTTTAACTTAAATAAAGAGAGTAAAAAACATTTATTTCTCTTCAAATGATGTTTTTTTCAGTGTTAAAACGTGTGAAATAGGTGAGAAAAAGTGTCGCCATCTGTCGGAGGAAATGAAACTCGATTGTAATTTTTCGTGAGTAGGAAAATCAATTTTCGAAAGAAAAACAATTTTTAATTAAACAATCTCGTGTCTCGTAAATAGAAATTTGGTTTTCTTTTTTTTTACATATTAAAAATTAAAAAGAAGTGTTTTTTACTAGTGTCATGGCTACTTTTTCATTGACCAATCAGCGTCGATTTTCGTGAAAACTCCTGTGACTTCGCGTCATTTCGTCGTGTTACCCCCCCTCTCTCTCTTATTTCGCGTGTTCACAACGTCAATCAAAGAGAAAATTCTTTTTTCCACTAAATTGACAAAAATTGTTCACCCCGCTGAAAAAAAAGAGAAGCGAACATTTTTTTCCATTGAAAATAAAAAACTTTTTACGTGAATTGTGTCTCTTTTTCTCTCTATAATGGCGGTACATTGGGTCACGTGACCCCCTCCTTTCAGGAAATTTGGGGGCAGGAGAAATGGCGCAAACCAGAGATCGAAAACATGGGAAATGTTGCGTGTTCCCGGGGAATGTCAATGTTTATTTGTTTACAATATTAATTGAAATGTTTTATTGTGACACGTGTATTTGAATTTTAGTAATTTTTAAGATTTAGAAAAAGAAAATTCCAAGTGTGAATTGGTGAATTTTTTTTTCTTTGTTTTTTACGGGGGATATATATATATATATAGATATATAGTGTATTATATAGTCTTGTGTGTGTCGTTGTGGAGAAAAAAACAAAAATGACGGGACGTGGGACAAAACGTCGGGGAAGACCGCCAAAGTCGGTGGTTATGGAGAGACCGAAAAAATTTCAATATCATTTAATGAAAAAACCGAAATATTTACAAAATAAAGGTTCTGAAACGCCATCGAGTCAACCGGGTACGCCGACGATATCGAGGGCGTCGTCACCGGTCGAATGCGAGGAAACAGGCAGTAGCAGCAGACGAAGTACGAGGAGCAAAAAAGGACGTGGTGGACGTGAACGAAATTCGAGAAAAGGTAAATAAATAATAAAATGTTTATTTTTAATTGTATTTTTTCTTATTTTTCCTTCTTTTCCTTTTTTTTAAATTTTAATTCCGATTTTTCTTTACTATTTTTTTTCAACCTTTTCTATTCACAATATTTATATTTTTACATTTTTCTTTCATTTTATCTTTGCAATTAATATTTTCCCTAATTAAAAGTGAATTTTCAATTAGGAAATTTTTATTTGTAAATTTTTCTTTTTTTTTCAAATATTTATTAACTTTATTTCACCTCAAAAAAATTGGTTTCTTATTCAATAAAAGGAAAAATTTCGTTATTAATTTTGAGGTTAGGTTTTGCTTTTCATTGTTTACGACGTTTACGATTTTGTTTGTTTTCGTTTTCTAGGTTTTCTATTACAATAATTTTTCCTTCGCGGCGGTAAATAATAATTGTTTATTGTAAATTTACAGGTGATTATTATTATTTATTATTTGAAAATAATATCGAAATTTACTACTTCCAGGTTTTTTTTAATAATTTTTTTACGTTTAATATACTTTTTTGTGTTTCTGACTAAAAAATTTATTATTTAAATTCCTTTTTTGAGTTCTTTGCAAATTATTTATTACAATTAATACAAATTTATAATAAAGAACATTTTTCTAATTCTTGTAATTTAATAATTAAAAAATGTAAAATAAAAAAATGAATCGAAATTTTTTCAAAAATTAGAAAATGTTTCTTTTTTTTTAATTTTCCTCTGATAGTGAGAGGGAATTTTCTTTTTTTAATATAATTTTTCTTGGAAAAATTAATAATTTTTTTGAGTCGTTTTACGAAAGAAAAATCGAAAAGTAAAATTAAAAACTTTGAATTTGTTTTGAGTAATTGTTAAATTTCTATTAACAATTGATTGAAGTTGATTCGTCTTCTTTTATTTCATTTTAATGTATTTTTTATAGAAATAATCAAATTTGGATAATTGAAATTTTTTTCTATTGTTGTGTAAAATGAAATTCTTGTAATTAATATTTCCTTTGTTTTTTAACAGGGTTTTTAATTAAAATCTTTTTCATTTATTTTTTATTTTTTTATTTCGACGTCTCTGTTATTTGTTCTCTTTTTCATATATTTTTTTTCGTTGTTGATTTTGTTATTAATTTTTTTTTATTTTCTCTGCTCCGTTTTAATTTTTATTTAATATTTTCACATTTTCTCGAAATTTCATTCTTTTCAGAAATTTTTTCCTTTTTATCTTTTGTCATAATTTTTCTTTTACATTTCAAAGAATTCTTTTTTTTTCTTTTTAGAATTTTGCCTTTAATTTAATGAAAAAACTTGGTTTCCTTTCGAAAATTTCCTGTAATTTACAAAAATTTTTCTTTTTTGTACAAATTTTTATTAATTTAAAAACAAAAGTCTTTAATTTAATACAAATATTTTCTTCTCTCAAAATTCTTTTAATTTAAATTAATTTTTTCTGTTTTTTCAAAATTTTGTTTTTGTTTATATAATTTTTTCAAAATTTTGTTTTTTTTAAACAATTCTTTCTGTTTTGGTATATTTTTTTTGCCTTTGACTTAAATTTTCTTTTGTTTTTTATTAAGTTTTTCTGTTTCTAAAAAATTTTTATTTATTTTATTTATTTATTTAATTTTGAATAAAAATTTAACTGTAATTACAAAAAAAAAAATCTTTTTGTCTATTTTACGAATTTCCTATTAATTTTTTCTTTCTTTTTCTGATTATCTTAAATTTTAGAAAAGAATTTTTTGTTTTTAATTTTTCTTTTTTGCACAATTTTGTCTTTAATTTAATAAAAATTTGATTGTTTCTTAAAATTTTTCTTATTTTCTACATTTTCATCAATTATTAATTAATTTATTAATTTTTTTCTTTCAAAATTTTGTTTTTAATTTAAAAATTTTTGATGTTTCTCGTAAATATTTTCTGTTTCTATAATTTTTATTTATTATTCTTTTTTGCATAATTTTACTTTTCACTTAAAATATTAATTTTTGAGGGGAGGGAGAATTTTCTTTTTCTGTAATTTTTAATCATTTTTTTTCCATAACTTTTGTCTTGAATTTAAAAATTTGTATTTTTTGTTAAATTTTTCTATGTCTTTAAGTTTTTTATTTACTTGTTTTCTTTGCATAATTTTGTCTTTACCTGAATTTTTTTATCTGTTTCTTAGCTTGAAATTTGCTTCTTTTTTGATTTTTTTTTGATTTTTTACGTCTTTATTAATTTCTTTTTCTTTGGAAAATTTTGCTTTTAACTTAAAATTTTTTATTTTTTTTTTAAATTTTACTAGTAGTTTTATAATTTTTATTTATTAGTTTTTGCATAATTTTGTCTTTACTTGGCTTTTTTTATTCTTTACTTGAAATTTGCGTCTTTTTGGGATTTTTTTTCTATTTTTTACTTCTTTATTAATTTTTTTTCTTTGTAAAAATTTTGCTATTAACTTCAAATTTTTTTTTTTTAAACTGAACTATTTTTTTATAATTGTTATTTATTTCCTATTTCTTAATAAGTTTTGTCTTTGAAAATTTTTTGTTTTTTAAACTTTACTATTTTTTATAATTTTTATCATTAAAATTCTTTTGGTTTTTTTTTAAACTTTATTATTTTTTATGATTTTTATTTATTTTCTATTTAATTTGTATAATTTTGTTTTTAAAAAATTTGTACTATTTTTACTTAATTTTATATTTTTTTATTCGTTTATTATTTTTTTTCGCATAATTTTATCTTTAACTTAAAATTTGTATTTATTTATTTATTTATTTATTTATTTATGAAAATTTTCTTTCTTGCTGTAATTTTTGTTTGTTTATTTATTTCATTTTTTCTTCTATTTAAAAAATTTTGCATAGTTTTTAAATTTTCCCTCAGTTTTCACTTTTTATTTAAAATTACTTTTTTCTTTAACAAAATTTTGTCTTTAGTTTAAAAAACATTTTTGCTCATTTTTTTCTTTTTGATTCCATTTATTTATTTATATATTTTGTACAATTTTTCCTTTAATAGAATTAATTATTAATTATTAATTCTTGCATTATTTATAATTCGCTAACAAAAAAAAATAATTAATTTTTATAATTGAAGTTAATAGTTAAAAATCATTGTTAATAAAAATTAATTTTTTTTTCGTATTCTTTGAAAATGAAGAAATATTTTTAAAAATTGCTTTCGATTGTTTGCTCTTTTTACATGAACTAAAAAAGTTATTACTTGAAAATGAATCTTAATAAAAGTTAATATTTTTTCCCATGAATTTAAAACGAGAAAAAAATGAAAAATTCTCTTTTTTTTCTTTTTATATTTATATTAATGTTATCAAAAATATTTCCGTTTTTTCTTTTTATTTATTTATTAATAATGTTGTCAAATTAATATTTTTGTTTGAAATTCATAAAAAATTCTCTTTTTTTTCTTTTTATATTTATTTTAATGTTTTCAAAGTAATATTTTTGTTTCGAATTAATTTAAAAAAAAGAAAAATGAAAAATTCCCTTTTTTTTCTTTTTATTTTAATGTTGTCAAAGTAATATTTTTGTTTTGAAAATTAATTTTAAAAAAAATGCAAAATTTACGTTTCTAGTTTTCTTTCTTTATTTTAAATGAATTGATAAAAGTAATAATTTTTTATTAAGTTTCATTTTTAAGTAATAACTTTTTTAGTTGATGTAAAATTAGGAAACAAACGAAAGAAGGAATTTTTAAATTAATTTATTTAATTAATAATTAAAGTATTTAATTACATACATAAATTAAATTAATGTTGTCAACAATTAATATATTTTTGTTTCGATGAATTTAAAAGGAAGAAAAAGTAGAAAATATTGACAAAGAATTAATATTTTTATTTTTTCGACTATTAATTGAAAATGGAGAAGAATTAATATTTTTTCGACTATTAATTGAAAATGGAGAAAAATTAATATTTTTTCGACTATTAATTGACAATAGAGAAGAATTAATATTTTTATTTTTTCGACTATTACAAAATTGAAAAATGGAGAATAATCAAAAATTGAATTTTAAATTTTTCATCAGGTGGACACTCAACAGGCGCATATCAACGACGTGGTTACAATACAAACGTCGACTATCACGATTCAGAATATCACTATGGCTCTGATTTTGGCGATGAATCAAGTGAAAAAAGTGATCTCGAAGAGGAGCCAATACAATCGGAGGATAATTCATCGGATTCTATAGAGGAGCCCGATCCATCGAGTGACAGTGATTTTTCCCTATCGAGTTACAGTAATACAAGTGGAACACCAAGGAAATCATTATTAAATCAACAACAACGTCCACCAAGTCCCGAGCCATTGTGGCTGCAAAATCGAGAATTACCAATTCTCGAAGTACCAAAATCATCGGACGATCTTCTTGTACCAAAAGAATTTGTCATGCCATGTTTATCAATTTACGAAGTACTGAGACATTTTCAAACACTCGTGCGTTTAACGCCATTTCGTTTTGAGGATTTTTGCGCCGCAATTATTTGCGATGATCAAACAAATTTATTAACGGAATTACATATAATGTTGATAAAGGCATTATTGCGTGAGGAGGATTCACAGCAAACGCATTTTGGACCATTAGATCAAAAGGATTCGGTGAATGTGAGTTTATATTTTGTCGATTCAATGACATGGCCTGAAGTATTACGATCTTATGTTGAGAGCGATCGTTCATTTGATCAATGTATATTGACAATATTAACAAATTGTGAATATCCATTTACAACAATTGACAATAGGATTAAGGTCCTACAATTTTTGACGAATCAATTTCTAATCACGAATCCTGTGAGGGAGGATCTTTTACATGAAGGTAAATTTTACTTTTCCAACGCTTTTTTTTCTATTCGAAATTCAATTATTTTCAATATCTACTATTTTCATAAAATTTCGCAAAAGAATTCAATTATTTAAAAAAAAAAAAAATTGATAAAATTCATCAATTATTTTCATAAATAATAAAATTTCCACAAGAATTCATATAATATATAAAATTTTCTTGTTTTGTTCTCCAGGAAATGTTCATTACGATGACCATTGTCGCGTTTGTCATCGACTTGGCGATTTGCTTTGTTGTGAAACATGTCCGGCTGTATTTCACTTGAGTTGCGTCGAGCCGCCGATGGTCGATGTACCGACCGAAGATTGGCAGTGCAGCCTCTGTAAGGCGCACAAAATCAGTGGCGTCGTCGATTGTATTCCCGATGTCGAGAAAAAGGGAATCCTCTGTCGGCAGGAGCATCTTGGCTTCGACAGGCACGGACGTAAATATTGGTTTCTCGGACGACGTGTCTTCATGTGAGTCTTCAAAAATAGTTTTATTTTTCCATCATTTATAATAAAATAATATTAGAAATTAGAAAATTATGATTAATAAATAAAAAATATACCCATTTTGTTTGTCATAACAAATTTCATTTGACTGATCTAAATTATGATGCAAATTATTCTCCTTTTTATTTATAAAATACACGAAAAAATTGTTAATTGGTAAAAAATTTTGGCTAAGAAGTAGAAAAAATACCCATTTTATGCATAATTTTTATTTCTCAATTATTTAAATATTTATTTACAAAAAATTATTTAAAATAAAAATATTATTTACAGTAAATTATCAAAAATAAAGGAATGATTTGTAATAAATTATTGAATTATCGATCGCATAAAATTGATTTATATAGTAAATTATTGAATTGTAGATGATAAAATTGATTGAAATTTCAGTGAAAGTGATGATGGACAAGTATGGTACTACAGTACACCTCTGCAATTGGAAGAATTAATCGCTGCCTTTGATAAAACCGAAATGGAAGTTGCTCTCTATCGTGAATTATCCGATTATAAAGACGAAATTGTACGTCAAATGGAAATAACCGAAACACTCACGAATCAATTTAAGGGCAACAAGAAATCCTTTCTAGAAGTTGAAAACGGTAATGAAATTTCTTTTTAAATTTCCTCTTAATTTCCATTCAGTGATATAATTACAAAAAAAAAATTAGTTAGTTTTTGTTTGGTTTTTTGTTTTCTAATTTTTTTTTTTCTATTTTTTCATTTTAAATGCCTTGAAAAATATTTGAATTATTTTAAAGAATGTTATTTAATTTTTTGAAAATAACTAAATTATTCCGAAGAAATTCTTTGAATTTTTTGGAAATAATTGGGTTTTTTATAATAATTCTACTTGAAAATTTTGAATGTAATTGAATTTTACGAAGAATTTCTTTTAATTCTTTTTTTTTTTTTTTTTTTTTTTTTTATTAATAATTGTAATTTGAAGTTTCATTTAGGATTTTTATTAAAATTTTCAGATAATAATTAAATTCTTTTCATAATTTTATGAAAATTATTTCAAATAATTGATTTCTTTCAAGGTTTTCTCTAAAAATAGTATTAAGTGTAAATTAATATATAAGTTTTTTAAATTTATTTTTATTTATTTTTTGTAGGTATTTACTTTTTTTTTATTTACTTATATTTATTTATTTTTTTAAAATTTTATTTATTTATTTATCACACATTTTACATCTAAATAAATATATAAATTTTGTACTTTTTTAGCGGCGATATTGAAGCAGAGAAAAGAGCGCGAAGAGCGTATCGAGAAGGAGAAAGAGGAGAAACTTGAGAAAGAGCGTCTCGAGGCCGAGGAAATGGTTCGTAAAATGCACGAGGGTCCCGATTCACTCGAGGAACGTTTAGCCATCGTCTCAGGACAATCTGAAGACAAAGAAAATGAAACATCGCTAATTTCCTCTTTGAATCAAGTTCCCGATTGTGTCGGCGAAACCGTTGAGGTCGCCAACGAAACCGATACAACAACAAACACCGATTTAACATCTACAACAACAACAACAACAACAGCTACAAAAGTGGCGAAAACACCCTCTTCATCTTCTGCCGATGATGTCGATGATGAATCTTCCACTGTCGAACCAGGAACTGGAACAGTACCTGGAACTGGTACTGGAACTGGAACAGGAACTGGAACACCAGGAACTGTAGGAACACCAGGAGCAAACGAAGAAGGTGTAAAAATCACCAAAGACGGAAAAACCCATAAAATTCTCACTCGTTCAAAAACCGGTTCCCTAACGCCACGCACCTTCAACATGGAGGATCTAAAGAGGCGAAACAAGGAAGAATTGGAGCGTCAATTAAAAGACGAAAGCGACAGTACTCGTTTAACGAGACAAAAGGCCCATCAAATAGCGACCGGAACACATCTCTTCAAACTCGGCATGGACAATAATTTCAAGTCCTACGTGAATCAATACACGACGAACGTGATCGCTCTGAATAAACCCCAACGGAACGAAGAGCGCGACAAGAAACGTCATCTGTCGCATAAATTCTCCCTGACGCCGCTCTCCGAGTTCAAGTGGATCGGCAGTTTGACGGGAACGCGCGCTCTTCTTGTTTCGACCCTGCGGCAAACGATTCTTCAGCTCGAGAGTAATATTCAAGCTTCGTTCATGCACACAAATTGGCCGTTGCTGCGAAAGCCTTGGACCAGTGCAGTCGGGACTTGTGTGAATCCTCGGGACTTTGCGAGAGCGTTGATTGTCCTGCAGGCTTGCATTAAGCCGGTGGTGTTTGCGAATGTTTGGAACGAGCAATTGGGACATGTGAAATTGAAGAGAGTGACGGCGTTGGAGCGCGAGGAGAAGAAGAGGTTGGATAAGAAGGAGAAGAAGGAGAAGGAGGACGAGGAGGAGAGGAATCGATTGACGTATAATTTTGTGAAATACACCCTCGGGTTGAAGCATCAGATTTGGAAGCAGAAGGGAGAGGAGTATAGGGTGCATGGACAGTGGGGATGGTTGTGGAACTCGGCCGGACGAAGATTGAAGAACTCGGGGAAAAGTGAATTGAAAATGGAGGCGCAGAAGATTATGTTGCAAATTCGCGATCAAGAGGGGATTAAAATTTTAGCGCTTGATCCGGCGACTTATGATTATATTGTCGAGGAATTCGGCGAACCGAAACCGAAGGCTTCCGTCGTTAATTCTTTCGCTAATTCGAACCCTACTTCTGTCGCTAATTCAAACGCTACTTCTGTCGCTAATTCGAACGCTAATTCCGTCGCTAATTCGAACGCTACTTCTCCCTTAAAAAGCGAAAAGAGGGAAAAGAAGGAAAGACGAAAAAATAGCGAGAAGGGCGAGAGGAAGGAGAGGGAGAAAATCGAGGACGAAAAGTGCGACAAGGAGGTGAAAGTGGAGGTCAAGGAGGAGACGAGGCTCAAGCGGAGTTTGCGGAATCAGCAGCGACGGAAGTCGAGAGTAGTGAGGGAGGAGGAGATAAAGAGCGAGGTTGATTCCGCGGATCTTCAGTCTGAATCCGCAGCCTCCAAGATCGAGAAATCCGCTGAGACGAAGAGCGAAACCGAAAGAGTGAAAAGCGAGGCGGAGAGAATGGAAATCGGAACCGAAGGCGACGCTGAAGCGTTAAAAATCGAAACCGAAGGCGCTAAGACGCTGAAAACCGAAAGCGAAGGCGGTGAGACGCTAAAAACCGAAAACGAAGGCGTTGAGACGCTAAAAACCGAAAGCGAAGGCGCAGAGACGCTAAAAGGCAAAAGCGAAGAAAACGAAGGCAAAAAGACGCTAAAAGGCAAAAGCGAAGAAAGCGAAAGCAGCGAAGGAAACAAAGAAGTAAAAACCGAAGGCACCGAGGAATTAAAGAGCGAAACGGGGGGAATTGCGATAAAAAGCGAAGCGGAACAAGGAACGAGTGGAACGAGCGCAAGTGAGAGCGACAACGAGAGTAAAAACAAAGAAACAACAAAAGAGGAAAAGAACCGATTGAACCTCGCCTTCCTCGCCGGGATGAAGATCCAAAAGGTCTTCGATCCCATAGAGAGTCTGGAGGAGATCGACATTACAAAAGCCCTAACCACGCCCGGAAGAATTCTCTATCCGAAGATAGCGAAAAAGACCCGAATCGATGAGTTCCTGGCGAGGCGCACGCATCTAAAGCTCCTCGAGGAGAGGAAATTTATCCAGATTGAAAAATCGGCGCCGAAGAATACGGCGATAATTAATAATGCGATTCGAGAAAATTGCGAACGGGGAAATGAAAATACAGAAAGCGGAACAACCGGAACGGGAACAACGGGAAAGGGAACGAAAGGAACGGAGACGAAAGCAGAAAGTGGCGGTGGTGGGGATTTTTTGCATAATATCCTGTCGGGAAAGGCGATAAATAAGGGATTGACGCCGTACGCAAAGGAAATGATGATTGTCCTGGCAAAACGAATTCAACAGGTTAGATTGCAATATGCAAATATTATGCGAATGGGACGCAATGGAAAATGCTATTCGAAATATTGTAATATTCAACCAATTGAGAAGACAATAAGTGCTACGCAATTGTTGACGGCTAATTGTTATTCGCCGATTTGCCTGCAGAAGGCGAGATTGAAGAGGGAATTGATTATTCTGATGAGAAAGGCGAATGCTTTAAATAATAATCAGGTATGTTTTTTTACACTTTTTTTCTCTCTTTCTTTACTTCTTTCCTTTTTTTCTTTCTCTCTTTTTTTATTTTTATCAATATTTTTTTCCCTTTCGGTCTTTTCCAGAAAGAGAGAGAAAATAAAAAAAAAAAATTTTGTAAAAATTTAGAGAGAAAATTAATTAAAATAAGGGAGGAAAGATTTTTTCCAACCTGAAGTTAGCGTCAAAGCTGAGGGACAAAAGGAATTCTCTTTTTTCATAAAACCATAAAAATTAGAACAATTTAAAATTGTTTTTGGAAGAGTTTTTAACTCTGTAGATAAAATAGGATTTAAAAAAAGGGAAAGTAGTGACACTTTGAAGACTAGAAAGTTTAAATATTAATTTTCGGCTCACTTAGCGTCGACGCTAAATTACAGTGGGTGAAATTATTATATTTTAGGAGCAAAGTCTTCTATATTAATAATTGTAATTTTTTTTTATTACATGTTTAATTTCAATTATTAAAAAATACGATTATACTAACTAAAAAAAAAATTTTTTTACCATTTTCAAAATTTTATTTTTTGAAAAAATTAAAAAATTTTTAAAATCTATACGATTGATTGTTCAAAATCGTAAGAAAAGCTTATAAAAGATTCGGCAATGAAAAATAATAAAAAATGTGGAAGTAGTTGAATTTTTTAAGTATTACTATAGTAAGATTTGAACCAATAAAAAAACCTTGAAAATTTCTTACAAACCTTGAAAAAACCGGGAAATAGACGTGAATTTGATTCACGAGTTTTGGTGGCCACCCTGAATAATAATAATAATAATAATACCTAATTATTATTATTACATATATTATTATGGGTGAATTCTTTTTCAATTTTGAATTTGAGATTATTAAAGAATTCAAGTTGACATATTGTGTTTGATTTCTTTTTTGCTGATAAAGTAATTAATTTATCTTTTTATTTAAACAGGTTCCTGGCTTGACAAAAATTGGCGATGCAGCAGCAGCAACAGCAGCAGCAACAACAACGACAGCAGCGACAACTGATAAAAATTTACCCATTAAAACTGAAGTTGTTGAGGAGAACAAAGACGCCGTTCGAAAGAATTTAGAATCGTCGATTTCAAATACGGTCACAGAACAAGTGAAAACGGAAAATGGCGATGAAAATGAGCCAGAAGCAAAACGTATCAAATTGGAAGTTGTAAGTAGAATTTATTTAATTATCAGTAGCAGATTCCAAGTTTTATTTATTTAATTAATAATTAATATATTGTTATTATTATATTGTTATTGTTAATATTATTATTATTAATTTTGTTATTATTATTATTATTATTTAATACACATTTTTTAAATAAATACATTTTTTTATTTGTTTAACAGAAGGAGGAAGAAAAGGAGATAAAAGTTGAAAAGCCGGAAACAGTTTCGACGACAAGTAATGTTACAACAACAACGACAGTGACAACAACAACAACAACTAGTCAAACTGTTAAAACTGTCGATGGTGTTGTTCAAAAAACTCAAGAAAGTGTTACGTCGGAAAATTCTATTGATGTCACGACAGTCACTTCCGAGACAAAAAGGTAAGTTTACGAAATTTTTCTATTTATTTTTTTTACTAATTTTTATATTTATTTTATTAGTCAGGTTTGACAAAAAGATATTTTAGTCTCTAGGGTATAAAGAAACGTATTTCTCTCGCTAATTTTTCTTTTTATTTACTTATCCGGGCTAAAAACAATTTTATCCCCTATGGTTTTACTGAAAGGTTCAGAAAGGTCCATTTTTAACCCCTAGGGTTTTTCAAAAAAAAAAAAAAAATTGTTATGCTACTTTTGAATAATGGTAATTAATTTGAAAAATTGTTATTAATTTAAAAAAATGTAATTTTTGTTTTTAAAATAATAATAATAAGACTTTGTAAATAAATAAATAAATAATAATCAATTTTTAGTGTCGCTGGCAGTACAACGACAATAATTGTAAATAAACGTGGACGTACAGTGCATCGTTGTGCAGTTGCAAAGGAATTAAATGCCGATGGTTCGGAGAGAATATACTCGGCACAATCGACGGAGGGTAAAGTTTATTTGAAGAAAATTTCCATTTCCTTAGCTGAGAGAAAGAAGAAGCGCACCCCAGTCAAGTATCCATTGTGCTCGACATTCTGCACAAAAAATAAACATCGCAGTATTCTTTTGTTGCCGCAACATGAATTACGAAAACTCGCCAGGCACGGCGGACGAACGCCCGTTCTTGGATTTAATCATTCAGCGAAGGTTCGCATTTTTCTTTTAAACATAAATATAACAATTATACAATAATATTTTTAATAAAATTTCTATTTTTATTATTATTCGCATCAAAATTTATTTATTTCAAAGAATTGTAATATTTTTCTAAAGAATTCATTACAAAAAAAAAAAAAAAAAAAAAAATTAGAAAATACGTTTTAGAAAAACTCGAATCGAAAAATGTGTTAAAATTCTGAAAAAAATTGAACTTTTCTTGTTTATTTTTAAATAGGCGAACATGTCAGTGTGGCCGTATCAGTGTTCGCGGCCACTTTTCAAAACGTGCTGGCTTTATCGAACGGTGGGACTAAAATCGTTGGCATCCGCCGCATTGCAATTGAGAATATTGTGGGCTTGCTTACGATGGGACGATATGGCGACAAAACCACTGTCAAGTGACGGCAAACATCAAATAACAACTGACACTGAAATAATGTCACTGGAAATATTGAAACATCGTCACGTTGGACAATTTTTGGATAAGTCGCAATATTTGCGTCGGAAAGTTCTCATTCCCCTCGAACTTCCTAAACAAGTCAGAGGTAGGGAACAATTCTTTAAATTTATATATTTAAAAAAAAAAAGAATTCAATTTTTTTACAAAATCAGAATTTTAAAAGTTCTCTAAAATATTCCGATAATAATCATATAAAATTACCACAAATTCTATAAAAACCCTTCAATTTTTTCTATTTCTGCAACAATAATTTCTTTTTAAATAACTTAATTCTATTGAAGAACTGCCATAAAGTTATTACTTATAAATCATTTAATAAAGTATTTTTTTGAAAAATTACAATTTCAATTCTGTTGAAATTGGTTTCAATTGTAAAAACTTTAACGCAATTCTTTAAAAAAAATTCAACAATCAATAAATATCAATAATATCAATAATAAATATCAAAATTCATCGCCGAAATTGAATTATTTTCAGGAATTTTAATAAAATTCATTACAAAATTCAATTATTTTCATAACTAATAGTATTTATCATAAGAATTCAAGTATTTTCGAAAATTTTAATAAAATTCTTGTCAAAGTTTCAATAATCTTTATAAATAATAAAATTCATCAACAAAATTCAATTATTTTCAAAAATTTAAATAAAATATCTGGCAAAATTTCAAATATTTTTGAAAGTCATAAAATTCTTCGCAGAAATTCAATTATCTTTAATAATTAAAAACAATTCTCGCCAAAATTTCAATTATCTTTATAAATAATAAAATTTTTCTCTGAAATTCAATTATTTTCAAAAAAAAAGTAATAAAATTCAATTATTTTCGAAAGTAATAAATTTCTTCGACAAAATTCAATTATTTGAAGGAATTTTAATAAAATTCATTGCAGAATTCAATTATTTTCAAAAATTTAAATAAAATTTTTGACAATATTTTAATTACTTTTCAAAAGTAATACATTTCTTTGTAGAAATTCAATTATCTTCAATAATTAAAAACAATTCTCGTCAAAATTTCAATTATCTTTATAAATAATAAAATTTTTCTCTGAAATTCAATTATTTTCAAAAAAAAATGTAATAAAATTCAATTATTTTCGAAAGTAATAAATTTCTTCGTAGAAATTCAATTATTTTAAAAGATTTTAATAAAATTTTTGTCAAAATTTCAATTACTTTTCGAAAGTAATACATTTCTTTGCAGAAATTCAATTATCTTCAAAAATTAAAAACAATTCTCGTCAAAATTTCAATTATTTTCGAAAGTAATAAATTTCTTCGAAGAAATTCAATTATTTAAAAAAAAATTAATAAAATTCTTGACAAAGTTTCAATTATTTAAAAAAAAAAAAAATAAATAAAATTCACATGAATTCAATTATTTAAAATAGAATTTGCATACATTTTTTCGAAGAAATGAATTATTTTAAAATTTGGCATTGAATTCTTCGTAGAAATTTAATTATTTTCAAAAGAAAAAAATAAATAAAATTCCACATGAATTCAACTTTTTTTTGAATTTCAATTATTTTAAAAAAATTTTTCTTAATTTGCATAAATTTTTCCAAAAAAAATCAATTGTTTAAAACTTTTTTGTAAAGTTCTTCGAAATTATTCAATTATTTTTAATACAAAGTTTAATCGAATTTCTCGAAAAATGTAATTATTCTTAAAAATTTTATAAAAAATCGTCAAAAGAATTCAATTATTTAAAAATTTTTTGATAAAATTTGTATTTTTCATATAATTTTAACTAACAATTCTGTATAATTAATTTTTTTCAAAAGTTAAATTTGAATATTTTTTAAAATTATTTCAAATTTTTATTTTCCGAAGAATTCAATTTTTCTTATAAATAATAATATTCTTTGTAAGAATTCAATTTTTTTTGTAAATAGTAAAAAAGTCATCGCAGAAATCCAATTCTTTTCAATCCAATTTTAATAAAATCTCACGAAAGAATTCAATTATTTTCCAAAAATTCAAATAAATTTTTTAAAACAATTCAATTGTGTATTTTCAAAAATTTTATTATACTTCTTGACAAGAATTAAATTGTTTTCAAAAAATTCAAATAAAACTCTTTGACAAGAATTTTATAATTTTCATAATAAAATTCTTTCGAAAGAATTCAATGATTCTCAAAATTTTTGAAAAAATTCTTTGTAAATTTAAATTATTTCCAAAATTATTCAATTAAAAATATTTTTAAAGAATCAAATTATTTTTTTCTTAAAGAAATTTAAATACATTCTGCAAGGAAATTTAATTATTTACGAAAACTCTAATGAAATTTTATTAAAAGAATTAATTTTCTATTAATTTTATTAAAATTTAAGAATAAAATTATTAATTACAATTATTAGAAAAACACGATTATTTTAAAAACCCCGCAAAAAAAAAAAAAATTCTTGGTGAAATTCAATTACTTCCAAAATTCTCTATAAAAATTATTATTAAAAAAAATTCAATTATTCAATAAATTATTTACTTGCATTTTATTTTTACTTTTGTATTCAAATTGTATTTAACTAATTGAATTCTCGTAGAATTTTCTAATAAATATTGATTTAATAATGAATTTTATATTATAATTATTGAATATTAAAACCTTTATACCGGGAATTTTCTGAAATTGAATTTTGAAAGGGTTTTAAATTAAAATTTTGGAAAATTTGAATTTTTCATTCTTTTAACTATCAATTCTGTATAGAATTTATTAATTTTTTTTGGAAAAGTTTAATTAAATTTTTTTTTTTTTGAAATTATTTCAAGTTTTGTTTTCTAACATATATTTAATTGAAAAATTTCCAAATAATCAAAATTTCACGTAAAATTGAATTGCAAACGAATGCATTTAAAAAATTCTCAAAAATAACTTTTTTTCAGAAATTATTAAAAATAATTGATTTAAAGAAGAAATTTAGTTAAAAATTCCATAGAAAGTATCTAATAATTTTGAATATCTAATAATTTGTTTAGAGTGAATCAGAATATTCTTTAGGGTTAGGGAAAAATTCAAAATTTTTGTCTGTGTAATCAGGAAAAAAGAAAATTAAATATTTGTGGCAACTCTGAAAATATTTAATTCTTTTTTTTTAAAAGAATTTTCGTAATTTTGTATTTGTATTTGTAATTTTAATTTTTTTTGGTTTTTCAAATTTTTTGCAGAAGTCACATCGATAAGAAGCGGTTTGCGAAAGCGGAAGAGACCGGAATCGCCGCACAGCACTGAACCACAAGTTTCAGAGGAATGGGTCGATGAGGACAAACTCGAACTCTGGGAAATTAAACAATACGGCGACAGGTATTTTTTCTTCTTTATTTTTTTTTTTTTTTGGGAAAAACGAAAAATAACAGTTTTGCTATTTTGTGTATTTAACGCTTTTATTGTTGTTTCCGTTTTTTATCACTCGACTTGTTTTTTTTATGCTTTTTACAATTTTTTTTTACAATTTTAACCACCAGAATTTAATTTTGTTTTCTTAAATTAATATAATTTTTTTTTGTTTAAATATTATTTTTTTTTGTTCTTTAATTTGTTTATTTATTTAGAAGATATACCGGCTAAATGCCCGTATTTCATTTAATTTTTTTGTCTATTTATTTAGAAGATACTTTTTCATTTTATTTATTTATTTAGAAGATACTGTTTCATTTTATTTATTTATTTATTTATACACGGACGATGTGTCCGTATATGTTTCTTTTTTTTAAATTTTAAATGAATAATGAATGCTTAATTTAAAAAAAAAAAAAACCAAGAGTCTCGTAAACTCAAATAACAAAATCGCGGGCTCGTTTTTTACTAACCACGTTTTTCGCTTGGCGCGTGTGTGTGTCTGAATTCTAGGTTAGAGAAGGCTAATGCCCAGATTATTACTAGGAGCCGTTCGGGCACGCCTCTAGTTGCGCCCGGCAATCGTTCGTCGGGCATTGGTGTTGGTGCGAATGCGGCGACAACCGCCGCCGGTGGCGATCAACAAGTCAGCGGTAAGCAAACGCCCGAGGAAATCAAGGAGAAAATGGAGCAACAATTGCGAATGCAACGCGCCGCACATCAACAGAAACGCGCCCTCGAAACACTCAAGAGTCCTGCGAATGCAAATTTACCCGCCAATCAACTCGTCAAAGTCACCACCAGCTCCAATCAGGGTAAATTAAATTATTCTATTTTTTTTAATTCTAATAATTTTTATTTTCACAATTTTATTTCATTTTTCAACTATTTTTTATTATAATTTTTTTTTTTTGACTATTTTTATTTATTTATTTTACTATTTTTATTTTTATTTATTTATTTTACTATTTTAAACAAACGGAAAAGATTAAATTTAATTCAAAAAGAAATTAACTTAAAACAAATTAAAGTAGAAAAAAAAGTTTAGAAAAATTAGACAAAGTTTGAAAACTAAAATAAAAATAGTAAAAAAATAAATTATAAATAAATTTTTATTTATTTATTAATTTTTTTTACTATTTTTATTTTAGTTTTCAGCTTTGTCTAATTTTTAACTTTAATTTTCTAAACTTTTTTTTCTACTTTAATTTGTTTTTTTTTTAAGTTAATTTCCATTTGAATTCAATTTAATCTTTTTCGTTTGTTTAATTTTGTGTTTAAACAAGAAAAAAGTAATGTTTCGTTTTTTTTTAATTTTTATAGACGGCGCTATAAAGGTGGTGACAAAAGTTGCAATTCCCGCGAATCCAAATGCAACGCCAGGAAAATCGCAACTTACTTCTTTGCTCACAACGCCAACGCAAAATAAAACTTTAATAGGAACTCGTCGAATTTACATGACAAAAAGTAAGTTTTCAAACAATATTTTTCTTTTTTGAAAAGAAACAAAATTACTGTATAATTATCACTATAAATTATTAATAATTATTTTCGTCATTTTTCTTTCAATTATTATTTTCTAGAATTTTCAACTTAAATTCTTCTCTAAAGCAATTAAATTTTTCCAAAAAAATTAATTCTACAGAATTTTTAGTTAAAAGTATGAAAAAATCAAATTTTCAAAGATTTTAATTAAATTTTTGAAACCTTTACGAAATTCAATTATTTCTAAAATTTTCAATTATTAGTAACTTCTCTAAAATTCAATTATTACCTACAAACTTTAACTGAAATTCATTTTTAAATCAATTTAAATTAGAAAATTCTACGAGAATTCAATTATTTAAATACAAATAAAATGCAAATAAATAATTTATTGAATAATTGAATGTTTCCTTAATAATTTTTAAAGAGAATTTTGAAAGTAATTTAATTTCACCAAGAATTTCTTTTAGGATTTTAAAAATATTGTGTTTTTCTAATAATTGTAATTAATAATTTTTAAATTAAATTTCTTTGAAGAACGTCTTTAAATTTCTATAAAAAAATAATGTGGTGTTTTTAAATATTTTTAAGTGAAAATTTTGAAAATAATTAAAATTTACAAAGAATTTTTTCAAAAATTTTGAGAATAATTGAATTTTTCCGAAGAATTTTATTATGAAAATTATAAAATTCTTGCCAAAGAGTTTTATTTGAATTTTTTGAAAATAATTTAATTCCTGTCAAGAATTTTATTAAAAATTTTGAAAATTCATAATTAAATTGTTTTGAAGAATTTATTTGAATTTTTTTAAAAGAATTGAATCCATTCGTGAGATTTTATTAAAATTAAATTGAAAATAATTGGATTTCTGCGATGACTTTTTTACAATTTACAAAAAATAATTTAATTCTTCCAAAGAATATTATTATTTATAAGAAAAATTGAATTCTTCGGAAAATAAAAACTTGAAATAATTTAAAAAAATATTCAAATTTAACTTTTAAAAAAAGTAATTATACAGAATTGTCAGATAATAGTATGAAAAAATACAAATTTTCCAAGATTTTAATTTGAAAATTCAATTCAAAATTCAATTATTTCTAAAAATTCATGATATACGTAATGCTTTTAATATTCAATTATTATTATTTAAAATTTTAGCCAAAATTTAGTATTACATCAATTTTTATTAGAAAATTCTACACGAGAATTCAATTATTTAAATAGAAAAATGAATAATTATAATTGAATAATTGAATATTTCTTTAAAACTTAATTCTTATAAATAATTTTATCAACAAAATTTTTAAATAATTGAAAATCTTTTGACGATTTTTAATAAAATTTTTAAGAATGATTCACATTTTTTGAGGAATTTGATTATTTATGAAAATAATTCAATTCCTAAAATTCCTAAATTTTAATATTTATGAAAATAATTGAAACCACGTAAAATTTTTTTTTATTATTTATGAAAATAATTGAATTATTGCGAAAAAATTTATGAAAAATTTGTAAATAATTGAATTCCTCTGAAATTTTTATTATTTTTGAAAATAATTAATTTGCGTAGAATTTTATCAACAATTTTTTTCAAATAATTGAATTCTTTTGGAAAATTTTATTACAACAGTAGATATTGAAAATAGTTGAATTAAGAAAAATGTTTGAAATTAATTTCATTTTTGCCTAGAATTTTATTAAAATTTTTGAAAATAATTGAATTTCATAGAAGAATTTTATTATTTTATAAAGATAATTGTAATTTTGAAGAGAATTTTTATTGAAATTTTTGAAAATAATTGATTTTCTACGAAGGAATTTTTTACTTTTGAAAATAATTGAATTTTGCAATGAATTTTTAAAAAATTTTTGAAAATAATTGAATTTATACGAAGAAAATTTTTACTTTTGCAAATAATTGAATTTCTGCGAAGGAATTTATTATTTTTAAAAATAAATGAAGTTTGACAAGAATTTTATGAAAATTTTTGAAAATAATTGAATTTCTGCGAAGAAATTTATTACTTTTGAGAATAATTGAATTTCTGCGAAAAAATTTATTACTTTTGAAAATAATTGAATTTCTTTAATCATTTGCAACTTCTCCAAATTTAAATTTTTTTCAGTGTTTTTAACTAAAATTCTTCTATAAATTATTTTTTTTAAAATAATTAATTAAATATAACAAAAAATTTTAACGATTTGTTGATAGTTTTTATTTATATTTTTATCAATATTTTTATTGTATTATTTGTATATTATAATTTTGTTTTATAATTCTTATTATATTTTGTATTTATCTTAATTATTAGTTATCTTTAAGATAACTAATAGTTAATTATTAATTAACAATTTTTTTTTAAGATTTAAGACCTAATTAATAATAACGAAATTAATAATTGTAAATAGCTCCTGACGGCAATACGAGAATTATATCAGGACCAACGAGTATTCTACCAAAGAGTGAACAATCACCGCAAACGCCTAATCGTCAACAGTCATTGATTAAAGTAACCGGCACTCCAATACCAGCGCCAAGTCCCGCACTCCAAAGTATACAGCAACGTGTACAAATTCTACGCGGTCCCGATGGTAAATTACAAGTTCGCGGCCTAATGCCCGGTCAACAATTGGTACAAATGCCCGATGGTAAACTACACGTTCTCAATACTGGTCAAACTGCTCAACAAATTGCCGCCGTACAAACAAATTCACCAATAGCGACAACAACAACTACTATCGTTTCGACTCCACCAACAACAGTAGCAGCATCGCCAGCAGGCACAGTCGTAACGACAAAAACACCACAAACAAAAATTGCACCAGTTAAAATAACACCGGCGAAAACAACCGTTGTTATTCAACAAGACGGTACGGAGAAAATTGTCCAACAAAATGTCCAGGGTAAACGATTAACGTCAATAAATGCGAGTCCACAGGGTGGAAAGAATACAATTTTAGTGACGAGTAGCGGGCAAATTGTTCAGGGACAACAGATTATACAGAGCGGTGGTGCGACGCAAGTTGTCGCTGGCAATCAAATTGTCGTTAATAATCCAACTTTGGCGCAACAATTGGCCACGGGTAAGGCGCAATTGGCAACAATTGGCGGTCATCAAGTCATTATAAGGAGCACATCGGCTGGTAATCAAATATTCCATTTGAATTCAACGGCGAATAGTGGAATTATCGTGAAACAGAATCAGGCGACAACGACGCCGGTGAAAATTGCGACGAAGGTGGTGGAAAATTCACAGGAGGGAAGTGTTAATAATAATGTTAGTGCCAGTGTGAATAGTAGTGTTAGCGCTGTCACGACGGCGACAACAACGACTAGTAACAATAATATTGCAAGTGGTGCACCGACATCGACGACTGTGAATAATACCGCGACGGGTCAAGTGAACGCTACTGCGACTACGACAACTGCGGCAACGGCAACGACGCCAACGGCCGCACCAGGAAGTGTTGAGGCATCACTCTTGGCGGGACATCCGCCTGGAACGATCATCAAGTGCGTTACCGCGCAGGTTATTCAAACGAGTCAGGGACCAAGAATTGTGCTTCAAGGTTTACAGGGTACGGAATTTACTCCTCAGCAATTGACCATGGTGCAGCAGCAGGTTAAGCAGCAACTGTTGAAAGGTATAAATTATTTTAGATATTTCATCCTTCTTTTTTGTTATAGTCATCTTTGCTGTTCCCTGAGTCCAATATTGTTTAATATGTTGAGGATCTGGAAGAAAGAAGAGGGGAGAAAGGGTCTGGGTTATATTGAAGAATGGAAGAATTTATACACTGGCATATGCAGATGATGTGGTTTTGATGGCTGAAGATGAAAGTGGAATGAAATTATTAATGAAAGAGTTTGAGAAATATGTGATGGAGAAAGATTTAAGAGAAAACGAAAGTGCTGAGATTTAGAAAGAAAATAGATAAGCAGGGCTTGAACCAGTGAAAGTATTTAAAAATACGGACTTTACGGACCAGTTGAGGCTCCGTATCTTAAAAGGGCACTTTTACCATTTAAAATCAATGCTGAAGTGCCCTTTTTAAACAGGAGCCTCAATTATTATTTCTGACAAAAATATAACCAGTGCGAGTCAATAAAAGAGAACATTTTACATAAAACTACAAATTAAATTTTTCATAACGGTAAAACTATAAAATTTTTGAAGATATAAAAAATTCCGAGTTCGGAGTGATTCGACTCGAAGTGATTGATTTCTTCATGTTTTATAATAATTAATGACCGTGTGATAAAATCATCAATTCAATTATTATTTTCAAGAATTTTAAACTAAACTTCTTCTTTAAATTGATTATTTTTAATAATTTTCGAAAAAGTTTTTATTTAAGAATTTTCAAATCTATTTGTTTACAATATTCAATTTCACGAAATTTCAATTATTCGTAAATTCTTCAATTAAATATATATTAGAAAATAAAAACTTCAAACAATTTCAAAGAAATTTGTAATTAAACTTTTTCAAAAAATTAATTTAAAAATTCAATTATTTATAAAAATTCACGCTAAATATTCCGTTTAATATTTAATTATTATCTAAAATTTTAACTGAAATTTATTTTTAAATCAATTTTTTATCAAAACATTCTTCAAGAATTTCTGCAATAATTTGTAACTTTTCCAAAATTAACTTTTTTCTCGTGTTTTTAACTAAAAATTTTCTATAAATGCATTATTTTTAATAACTTTTGAAAAAGTTTTTTTAATAATTTTAAAAAAATCCCCAATTAAACTTTCTTAAAAAAAATTAATTCCACGGAATTGTTAGTTAAAAATATAAAAAATGATCTAATGCTTTTAAAATTCAATTATAATCTAATATTTTAACTGAAATTCATTTTTAAATAAATTTTTATTAAAAAATTCTACTAGAATTCAATTATTTAAATACAAAAAACAATTTATTGAATAATTGTATGTTTCTTAAAATAGAATTCGCGAAAAGAATTTCATCAATAAATTTTTAAATAATTAATTCTTTTGTGAGATTTTTATAAAATATTTTTGAAAATAATTGAATATCAGAAAAGAAATTAGTTATTTCTACAGATTATTGAAATTTCGACGAGAATGTTTAAAAAATTTTGAATATAATTGAATTTCTACGAAGAATTTTATGACATTTGAAAATAATTGAATTTCTGCAATCATTTGTAATTTCTAAAATTATCCAAATTATTATCGTACAATTTACGGTCTTTTCTCAATCAGATTATGGAATTTACGGAACTTTTTTTTTAAAAAAACGGACTTTTACGGACTTGTGTCATAAACTGCTTGAAGATAAGAATTTAACTTCAAAGTTGTTGAAAAAATGACGCCTAGATCTCGGATTTCTAATTTCTGAGTTTTGTTACTTAGGGTATTGTTTTATTTATTTAAACACTTGATCCCGCGGTCCAATTTGGACGATTTATCTAGGAAATCGATTTAAATTTTGTTTTTTGTGTAAAGAGCGTTTAAATCTTGGGAATTCGTACGTTTTTTTCTCGTAATTTGCGATATATTCTTAGTGCGCATCTATTTAAACGTGTCGCGATCTACTGCGCAGATTTGTCTTCTGCGCATGCGCCTAAGATCGCAAGACACTTTGGAAGGGTCCTAACAATACATTGCAAAATTTTAAACTGCGTCTTTAGTTAATTTTAATTTTTGTATTCAATCAAATAATAAATAAATTTATCACTAGCTCAAGCAACAACCGGTAAACAAGGAGTTCTTGGTCCTACGAAACTTTATGTCGCTGTTCATCCACCAGTGCCAACGCAAACTTCAACCACTCCGCAAACAAGTCCAGTGGTTAATGCGAAATCAGAACCTGAAAGTGAGACGCCAGAGAGTCCAGCTCCTCCTACACCAGGTAAAATTCTTTTTGCTTTTTCTATTACTGAATTAATTTGTTTATGCAAAAATGACGTTAACTTATGCTAAAAGTTTCTATGGGCATAAAATTATATTTACGATAATCAAAAATAAAATGCAAATTTTTATTTTCATTGTAGTGGTAATCAAGAAAGAATTGGAAGTAAAAACAGAGGCAAATTCAGCGCCAGCAACACCTGAGAAGCCAAAAGTCGTTGTTCAGCAAGTGGCAAGAAATGCCGGAGCCGAAGGCGAACCGCAAAAACAACAAATGGCCAATGGTCAACAGCCTTTGCAGACGCCGAAAAAGGAACCTGGCCAAGCGTCGAATAAATTCGTCATTACTCCGGATTATATTCAGCAAAGTAAGTTTTAGTCATTAAAATTAATTATATTAATAGTTTATTATTAATTATATTAATAGTTCATCACTTCTAAAATTCTAATTATAATTCTAAAAAATTCTATTAATAGTTCATCAAAAATTTTAGTATAATTTATCTTTTTTTCTCTTTATTTTTCACATAAATAGTGTTCAATTTTCGATAATTTGTGGTTTTTTTCTCAATGTGTGCGATATAAATTTAGTGCGCATCGATTTGAACGTTTCGCGATCTACTGTGCAGAATTACATTCTACGCATGCGCAAAAGATCTCTAGACATGCGCAGAACACTCTCGACTTATCTTTTCATGCGCAATGAACAAAATTTGTTTATTTTTCTATTAATAATTATTTTTTTTATTATAATATTATATATTATTATATTAATAATTATAATCTTCTTATATAATTTTAATAAATTATTATTTTTTGTTAATTGTTGTAAATTTTTTTTTTCATTTTTGCAGCAATTAAAAGTGCTTTGAAACAGGAGAATTTGAATCCAGAAATTGAGGAGAAATTATTGCAACTTCAACGTTATCAGGAGAAGCAAATGAAAGGCACGGAGAATACAATTTCAAGTAATCAAAGTCATAATCAAATTGCAACAACGCCACGAACACCGGCGAGAAAACGACCGACGCCAACTGCAACAGCAGCAACGGGAGCAGCAGCAGCAGCAACAACAATAAATACAACAAACATTCCAGCCACAAATGTCACGACAAATTTGCAAAATCTTGTCAATGACAAGGACATTGATTGGTCTGAGCCACCGAAAAAGAAGATATCGCCGAAAATTGAACCTCGAGAGCCCGTTGGGTAAGAATTTTATTAATATGTATAAATTTTATTAATGTATAAAATATAAATTTTATGTTAATTTTATTTTTTATTTATTTCTTTTTTAAATAATGCATTTTTTACTTGTTAGATTTTAATTTTTTTGTGGAAAATATAAATAATAGAATTTGGTGATTTTTATTGTTGTTGGTCTAATAATAAAAAATGATTTTCAGTAAAAGAAAAAGCGATGAAATGGAAATGCAGGAGAATGAAATCTCGCCCAAGAGTCGACCGAATAAATTACGTGACTCACAGGATTTGAAGAGGAAATCAAGAGTCACATCGCAAATGAACGTTTTACTCTTTCGGCATAAGGAAATGCTTAAAAAAGATATTCTGAAGAAACGAGCGCTTCTTGAGAAGGAACTTTCCATTGACATACAGGTATATTTTAATATATTTAAATTTACAACAAAAAACGGAAAAAATTAAAACAAAAGTTTTTATGTTTCTTTTGTTTTTAAAAATTACAGAATAATTTTTTTTAGAATGTAATTAAAGGAAAAGTGATTTTTTATTTATTTATTAGTAGAGAATAATTATTTTGAAAAATTGGAAACAGAAAAAAAACATGGAAACGAAAAAACTGTTATAATTATGAAATAAGGTGATTATTGGTATTAATGAATGGATTTGTCGACAGAAGGATCTCTCGGCAGAATTGGCGAGTCGAACGAAAGCAGAGAGACATAAACAGGACGAGGTGAAGGTGGGAAGCGCAAAACGCAAGAGTAATGCGCAACCCGCACAACAAGTGAGTCCACCGAATCGTAATGTTAAACCGAAGAGTCGAAAGAGTCATGGAAATAGTACAACGCCACCGGGCGGCTCTTCAGCGGCAAATGCGAATCGAATCAAAAAGGAGAAACTTTATTGTCTCTGCAGGACACCATATGATGAAACTAAGTGCGTTTTTATTCCCTTTTTCCCCTTTTTTTCTTTAATTTTGATGATATTTTCCATTTTTCTTTTTTTCCCCTTTTTTTGGTTTTTATTACATTTTTCGCCTTTTTCAAAATATTTTACAATTTTATATTTAAATTTATTACATTATTAAATTAATTAAAAATGATCGTTTAATTAATTTCTTTTTTGCGAAAAACAATTTTCAGGTTCTACGTGGGGTGTGATTTGTGCAACAATTGGTTCCATGGCGAGTGCGTTGGCATCACTGAGGAAATGAGCAAAACTCTTTCGGAATTTGTTTGCACCGAATGTCGTCACGCGAGGGACACACAGGAACTTTATTGCCTTTGTAAACAACCCTACGATGAATCTCAGTGAGTTTTCTCTTCATTTTTCTTTCTCTTTCTCCATTTCAAAAATTTTAAATATTTAAAAAGTTATTTTAAAATTTTTATTATTCAAAACACGGTAATTTAATTTATTAATTAAACTATCCGGTGTTTTAATTGTTGAATATACGAAAATAGAAAGAATAAAATATTGAAATGTTAATATTTATTTCAAAAAGAGTAAATAATAAATTGTTTTTTTCTTTTTGTGAAGGTTTTACATCTGTTGTGACAAATGTCAGGACTGGTTCCATGGGCGTTGTGTTGGTATTTTACAATCGGAGGCTGACAATATTGACGAATACGTGTGTCCGAATTGTCAACGGAATTCGTCGGTTAATTTTGCGAATATGAAAAATTTAAACGCAAAAGATCTTGACCTCTTGAAAAAATTAATCAAACAAATACAGGTGGGTTTATTGAATATTTAAATTGAAGTCAAGTAATTTTTTAGTGAAACATTTCTTTCGTTTTTTTTTTTTTGGTAAAGTTTTGAATTATTTTACGCAAAGAATTTATTTCATTTCTGTGTTAATTTTGTGTCATTTGACTTTTAATATTTTTTCTTTTTTTGAAAAATTTATTAAAGTAAATGATTTTTCTGTTATTATTTAGCAACACAAAAGCGCTTGGCCGTTTATGGAACCTGTCGATCCGAATGAGGCGCCAGATTATTATAAAGTTATCAAAGAACCAATGGGTAAGTCAAAAATAAATTTTCAATTATTTAAATATTTCGTAAAATTAACTTAATTAAGTTAAAAATTCGATTTTTGTAAACATATTTTTGCATTTAATTTTTTTTTTTAAAGTAAACTATACATTAGTTTTCAGTACTTTTCCTTTATACATTTTTTTTTAAATTTTTTATTTTAAGAAAAAAAAATGTTTTCTTTCTTTTGAATATTTGTTATTAAATATAGAAGAAAAAAAAATTATTTAAAAATTTTAAAATTTGTAGAGAAGAGAAAAATAATTTCACAATTTCTCGTTTCAGATCTACAAACAATCGAATTGAGGATAAACGACAAGAGTTACAAGAAATTAAGTGAATTCATCGGCGATATGACGAAAATATTCGACAATTGTCGTTACTACAATCCAAAGGAATCGCCATTCTTTAAATGTGCCGAGGCCCTTGAAACATATTTCGTCCATAAAATCAAGTGTCTACGGGAAAAGTTCTCCGAAGGTAAATGAAAAATCAAATAAACAATTTCAAAGAAAAAAAAAATAATTGTGAAAAGAAAATGCAAAAAATGCAAAATGAAAACTTGAAAGTGTCCAAGTGTTGTAAAATATTTCTCTATATATATTAAACAAAAGACTTTTTAAAAATTAAATTCGCCAGCGAAGAGTCAGTGCGGTTTTTTTTAAATCATTACTTTCCTCATTTTTTGGAAAAAATTGAGAAAAAAAGAAACAAAAAGGGAGCCGTGAAAATTTCGCGTTTCAAGATGAGATGAAAAAAAAATGAATTAAAAAAATAGAAGAAGAATTCAGCGAAAAAATTAAAAAAAGAAAAAAAAGAGAGAGAGAGGGAAAAAGTGTATAATTAAAAAAATGGAGAGAAAAACCGCTTCTGTGCCAGTAAAAAACACGAAACTCAAAAAAAAACCTAGATTTTAAGTTATAAATATATAAAAAAAATAAAAAAAAACTAGCGTTAAAAACGTTTTTTCTTCACGTTTTAATTTATTCGCTCGCGCGTCTTTTTAAAAAAAATGAAAAATTCCTCACTCGACGCGGAAATGATTAATTATACATATATTAATTAAATTGAAGAAAAAAGAAAAAAAAGTTAGCTGAAAATAATTTAAGGAAAAAAAAGAATATTTGACGCTAGAAAAATATTTAAGAAACAAAAGGAATGAATGAAAACCCCCGAAGAAAAAAATTAATGAAAAATCAAGAAAAAAAAACTTTCAATTCTAAGTCATTTTATTATTTAATTTAAAAAAAAATCCATCGATTCCGGATTATTTCTACGATTGTTTTTAACAAAAAAAAGGAAAAAACGCCGCATTTTCGTATTTTATGGAAATAGAAAAACAAGAAAAATCGCATAATATTATTAATAATAAGGATTAGAAAATAAAGAAATGAAATGTTTGAAAATAAGTAAAAAAAAAATAGAGAAAAAATACAGTAAGAATAATGTACAAATTTTGTTTATTGTGCTCATTAAAGTGACAATTGATCAATTCTGTTGTTTTAATTATATAAATTTTCTGTATATTAAAATTGTTTATAAAAAGTGGAGAGTAAAGGAAAAGAAAAAAATTTTTTTGTAAAAAAAATTGTCGGGAAAAATTTGAGAATTTTAATTTTTTGAAAAAAGAGGAAAAGTTTTGGCAAAATGGAAAAACAGGAAGAAAAAGAAGAAACAAAAAATTAAATGGAAAAAACAATAGTAGAGAAACTGTGAAACGATGGAGAGTAAAAAAATCCCCCGGATGTGTGAAGAAAACTAGGAATAAATGAAGAAAAAAAGAAGAATAAATAATGAAAAAAAAGAAGAATAAGTGAATAAATTAAACAAAAAAATATAAGTGTAGTAAATAGGAAGGAAGAAGATTAAATGAAGAAGAGAGAAAATAAGAATAAATTTTAAAAAAAGAAGAAAAGAAAAATAAATGACGAAGAGGAAAAAATGAAGAAGAAACGAAAAGAAGAATAAATGAAGAAGAGGAAAAAATGAAGAAAAAATGAAAAGAAGAATAAATGAAGAAGAGGAATAAATGAAAAATAAAGAAGAAGAAGAAATGAAGATAGAAAACAAGAATAAAAAATATAGAAGAGGAATAAATGTAAAGAAATAGAATATTTGTTTCTTTTCTTTCTTTCTTTTTTTTTTTTTTGAAAATAATTGTAAATAGCGATTTAAAAAGAAAAAAAAAGTGGCGCTGAAAAGCTTTTTTTCGCTTTTGAAAATAATCATTTTTTTTGTGCGTGAAAAAGAAGGCTTTCTTTTTTGTTTCGACCCTTCCCCCCAACACCCCCTTTTTCTTTTTTCAAATAAAAAAAATATTCTTTTAATATTTTAGGAGAGAAAAAAGTAAATTTTTTATTTTAATTCAATCTAAAAATTATTGTACAAATAAATGAAAGTGTAAAATACTTTTTTTCAAAGAAGAAGTAAAGTATTTTATTTTAACTTTTATTTATTTTCTTTTTCATTCTTTTTTAAAGCAATGAAACAGAGAGAGAAAGAAAGAAAAAAAGTGGATTAATTTAATTTTAATTATTTATTAATTTTCTTCTTCTTTTCTTTTCGGTTTTTAATTTACTTTTTTTTCTATTCTTACAAAGTAGAAAAAGAAAATTGTAAAAATAACGTTTTTTTTATTAAAAAAAAGAAGAAATGTAAAACATACTTTTTTTAGTACAAAAAAAGCTAAGAAATTGCTTTTTTAGTTTAAAAAAATTGCTTTTTTAGTTTTTCTAGTTAAAAAAAAGGAAAATTTATTTTTAAAAAATTCTATAAATAAAAATTGTAGAAATTAGTTTTTTCAAGTAAAACAAGAAATTTGAAAATTTTCTCTTTTTCTCTCTCTCTCTTTCTTACTCCTCGAATTTTTTCTTTCTTTTTTTCTTACGTTTTTCTAATATAAATGATTATAACAAAAAAAATTGTTTATAAAAAATATTTAAAAAATGAATTAATTTATGTAATATTTCTATATATGTATAAAAAGAGACGAAGATACTTGTACAGTATTTTTTTTTAAATGTAAATCTTTCCCCCTCCCCTCCCCCTGCTTGCAAAAAATTGCGAATACTTCGAATGTGTTTATTGTTTTACTTTTTTTCATTTCAATTTTTTTTTGCCAATTGTACTGTATTTACGATAAATTTATATATATATATATTTAAAAAAAAATTGTAATTGTTAAGATTGTTACCCCCCATTTTTTTTATTTTTAAAAAGAAAAAAAAATCCGTCTTTTTTAAATCGCAAAATCTTTTTCTCTCTCTCTCTCTAATTTTCCTTTTCTTTCTTTCTCTCTCACTTTTTTAAATTTGAGAAAAAAAGAAAGAAACAAAAAAAATTATTTTTTGTGATTTAAAATTTGGGGATTTTTTTTTTGAATTTATATTATAAAGATAAAGATATTTTGAATAATTTTATAATTTTTATTGTAAAAAAGAAAAATTTCCTTCACCCTCCCTTTTTTTTCTTCGTCTCTTGATAATTTTTTTCTTCAACCCTCGACACCCCCCCCCCCCTTCAACCCCAAATTAAAATATTTTTTCAATATTGTAATTTCTATTTTGATTATGTTATATAATGAGGTGTTTATTTTTCATCGATGAAAGAGAAAGAAGAAGAAGAAGAAGTAAATAAAATAAAAAAAGAGCAACAAAGTGTGATTATTATCTAAGTATATTCATCTCGATCTTAATATTAAATAGTTTATAATAAATATATTTGTACTAATTTTAAATCAGGAACTTTGTTGTTTTTATTGCACTATACAATATAAATTAGTCTATAAAATTGAGAAAAAAAATGAATATTTATAATTCCTTGATACCTTAAAAATCCGTCTTTTAATTGTTTTTTTTTCATTTATTTTAATACATTTTTTTTTATTACATTAATTATAAATTAATAATTAAAATTAAATAAATTAATAGTTAAATTAAATAATTTAAGTTTTAAAATTTTAAATATAGTTAGTTTTGTCGGTATTCATATGAAGAAAGTTTATCGATTATTGGTAAGTCAGTTCACTGATTTACCGTTTGTCGGTAATTTGGGAAAACTGTATTACCGACTTGAGGTAACAAACAAAAATTCTATTAAAACTGGAAAATTTATGAAAATCAAATTTAAACTTACTTTTAAATAGAAATAAAAAAACATTTAATTTAAGTTAATAAGCATTAGCAAATAATCTTTATTAGCAGTAAAATTATCGATTAAAAATAAAAGCAATAAACATTAAATAAAATTTAAATAAATTTTTCTTTAGAAGAATATTTCTTCCATTTTTTTTAAATAATTTTTTTTTAATTAAAAATTTTGAATATAATTGAATTTTATGAACAATTTCTTTCAAGTTTTTAAAATAATCCTTTTTTTTAATAATTGAAACTGAACCTTTAATTATTGAATTTTATTAAAATTTTATAAAATAATTGAATTCTTTTGAAAAATTTTACAACGAATTAAGAAAAAAAATTGAATTTTTGCAAAGAATTTTACAATTTATAAACATAATGAAATTTTTTGAAGAATTTATTAAAATTTTAGAAAATAATTGAATTGTATTAATATAATTGTCGGCAATGTTAATAAATGTTAATTAATGTAATGTTAATTATGTTAATGTTTTTTTTTAAATATAATTGAATTTTTGCAAAAAAATTTACTATTTATAAATAAAATAAATAAAATTGAATTAATAAAAATTTAGAAAAAAATTGACTTTCTTCGAAAAATATTATTAAAAATTAATTTAAATTGAAATTCTTTCAAAAAAATTGATTTTAATTGTATTAAAAATAATTGAATTTTTGAAAAGAATTTTACTATCAATAAATATAATAGAATTTCTTTGAAGAATTTATTAAAATTTTAGAAAATAATTGACTTTCACTGGGTTACAAAAAAATGGTCATATCGTGTTTATTCAAAGTTTCCTGTGTTTATTGAAAGTTTAGGTGTCACTGAATAAGAATATACCAGTAAAACATTTTTTCATTCGGTCATTCCCTTAAAAAAACGAGTTTAAAGTGTCAAAAACCGTATTTTTAGCACTTATTGAGGCAGCGTAACAAGAAAACGCAACATGATAAAAATCTCTACAAGAGCTTAAATAAAAGCTTAAACCTTCAACTTTGAGGCTCAGAACTGAAAAGTACTTAAATAATCAATGAAAACCTCCTTAATTAAGCAGTCGCTACCTGAAATTGTCAAAAAAAGCTAGAACAGGAAGCAATTGGTAAAAATCGATTTCCTTAAGCGGATTCGGTTGCAACTTGTTATTTGAAGTTTTTTGAGGTTTCTAATGACGAATTGGAACTTAGATTTAAAAATTTCAAAATGGCGGACTGAAAATAATGAATTCACTCAATTTTTCAAAATTTGCGTTAATAATTTTAAAAAATTGAGTCCGCCACTTTGAAATTTTTCAAATCTAAGTTCCAATTCGTCATTAGAAACCTCAAAAACCTAAAATAACAATTTGCAACCGAATCCGGTTAGGGAAATTGATTTTTACCAAGTGCTACCTAACCCAGCTTTTTTGATAATTTCAGATAGTGACTGCAGGTTTTCAGTGCTTATTTAAGTACTTTTCAGTTCTGAGCCTTAAAGTTGAAGGTTTAAGCTTTTATTTAAGCTTTTGTAGAGATTTTTATCATGTTGCGTTTTCTTGTTACGCTGCCTCAAAAAGTGCTAAAAATACGGTTTTTTGAGACTTTAAACTCGTTTTTTAAGGGAATGACCGAATGAAAAAAAGTTTTTCTGGTATATTCTTATTCTGTGACACCTAAACTTTCAATAAACACAGTAAATTTTAAATAAACACGACATGACCATTTTTTTGTAACCCAGTGTTTTTTAAAAATAATTTATAATAAATGAAGAAAAAAATTGAATTCTTTAGTAAAATTTCTTTGAAAATAATTGTATTTGTTCGTGAAATTTTATTAAAATTTTGTTTAAAAATAATTTAATTTTTGAAAATTTTTGAAAAAAATTTACTATTTTTAAAAATAATTAAATTCTTACGAATAATGTTATAAAATAATAGAATTCTTTGCAAAGAATTTTATTTAAAATTTTGAAAGTTATTATTCAT